GTAATCTTTGAATTTGACATTGAATAGGAAGAGAGAAGAAGCTTTAGAGGTGAAACAATGGTAGATTTGTCTTCTGCATATCTTTCAAAGGTTTAGGTAAGGATAAACACAAGTTTAAACCATCCCAAGTCTTCGCTGCCGCGGAGAACAATTCAAATCTAAATAGGAAGCCATTGTTCAACAAAGCACTGGAATGGAAAGATGCTGAGGCAAAGGGAGCTTATCTTATCATACTGCAACTATCATGTCTTTGCAATGGACAGCTTCAGTCAGCTCAAACGAAGGGCTGCTTGGCTTCAGAATCGGCCATTGTTTCTGCCTCTTAACAACGGCATAACTTGCACAAATACTTTGATTACAGTATTGACATGTGCATTTCTGCAAATAATCTAGCTTTATCTGAAGTGTAGCAGCTGTGAAGATATTTGCATATTTGCTGGGAGGAGCAGATACCTTTGTTGAGGAGGTAAACCACTTGTATTGTATTGCATGGAGCAGATAGACTTGCGATTTGATGAATTGTGCCGTTTTTTTCAGAAATTCAGACATTCCATTATAAATGCATTGAGTTATGCCTTTGCCAAAGAGACAACTGGAAAATAGCAATTCTGGTATACTTCTAGTATCTTGGATAGACAAATGTTGAACTAAATTAAAAACCTGAAGACATTCCCTACAAATGTGTCATTAAATTTAGTTTGCTTGATCTGCTTCTAGTCTAAAGAGCATTCGTGATGACAGGGGCTTGTGCTCATTTCAGAGGGTGGGAGTCTGTGGGTTAACTAACACAGGAAGTGGGGACAGCTGTCTAAAAGATAGGTGATACTTTGCGGTTTTGAAAAATAACTGTGACATATTTGAATAACATGAGCACGGGATGATTAATGCTTGTTGGATCTTTATGGCAACAATAAGAGTTTTTGTAGGCTTTATTTAGCTGCAAACTGAAATAATAAAAAAAATTTCTTATTTGGAAAGACTGGTACAATTGTAAGAAAGCTGAGTTTGGATTGACGTGTACATTGAACCATGTTAACACGTCATCTTTTGGGCTCAGGATGTCCACTTGAAAGTAAGAACACTATCTTTTCAGGAAATCTCTCAGAATACTTTCAATATTTCACAAGCTGATATGGAGAAGAACTTTCTTATTGAAAACAGACAACTAAAATACATTAATCACTTGACTTTATGCGTCTGATTATGCATGACAGTTCCACAAAAAATGACAACCTAAATCATGCTGAAATTTTGTTTTCACTTTTGCTCGGCTCAGTGATGAGAATTTTGCCATCAGTTATGTGAATCACGCTGCATGCTAATGACACCTTCATGCACATGCTAGCGACAGTGTGGTTTGTTACCTTGCCTGTCTGTTAACCGCATAGTTATGCAGCAAAACTTCGGCACCAAACTTAAGAGCAGTCATCCAAGATATATGACCATGGTTTCGCGTAATTCTAATCTCTGTGGAGCTTCTTTTAAAGGAACCTTTTTAGTTTTTGTTATTTGCCTGTCTGTACATTTAGGTTTTCTGGTGCTGTTGTCACTGGAGTCCTCAGCTTTTAAAGCTTTAGTTTTGCAAATGAAAGTGACAGTGTTTTTGTGAGTCAGACCAGGAAGGCCAAGGGCAGAGCAAATGTGAGCAGGTTTCCATAGTCTTAACAGATCAAAATTAAATAATGACATGATTTTACAAGCTCGTTCTGAATCATGAAAAACTGAACATGTCTAATTATTTTTTCAGAGATAGGAATCAATATATAAGAAGCAGAAAGGCTTATTGGAAGTGTTTATCTTTTGTCCTGGATAATACTCTCAATGAGTGTCATAGGACTGGGTTTCTGAAAAACAGAGTACATGGAGACATATAGGTCCTCATTACACTTCATTAAAGAAGTGTGTTTCCTCTGCTGCCTGCATGCTCTGTACTGTCATCAAATCTATATGAACAGACTTAAGCAGGCAGCTACCCAGAATGTTTCACTACAGATCTAGAGACCACATGAACAAATACGGAAACACACAGCAGTGTGCACTACACTAGTACAAAAAACATGTGAAAAGAAACTCCATAAATAAATTGAATAAGGTGACATAGTTTAAAAGACTCATAGTTTGAACATCAGACTGGGGTTGTTGTTGTAGGAAGTGTAAAAAGTAAGTAGGATGTAAATGGAGGAATAATGATTCATAAACAGTCATTATAAATTACTTCAAAAGACATAATGAAATTCCAGAAATTAAGTTCAAAGTGAAAAAGTATTTATCTGTAAAGCATCAAGTAATTGATTTATTCTAAGGTAGATCTCAGCACAGAACTAGACCCACCCACTCCCCACCCCTCCAATAAAGTCTCTGTGAATAGTTTTTTGCAATGTATTTCATGTTTTGCAAAGCAGTTTCAAAGCAGAGCGACAATACTGCCGAAGAATCTGATTGGAAGTGTTTGAATGGAGTTTGGCAACGGTGAGAAATGTTAAGTACTCACCCTCCACCTCTCATCACCCACCCACACACACTCCCTTGAAAGTCTACACACAAACACACAGATGTCAGAGAAGTCTGAGCGACTCTACCCCTGTCACTGGTTGCCTGCTGTGAAAACAGCACCACCCCCCTCCTCCCCCCCAACCCCTTCCCTCCCTTCTCTCCTTCTACTCTGGACGCCAGCCTGACATACCAGACCTTGTTCGTTAGCGCATATTTTTACCCACCGTTACTAAATTAGGAAGCCAAAGGGAGCAAATGGAGTGTGGCTGCCAAGGCAGAAGAAGAAGGGTCTGATCAGGCCTGGGTTTGCTGAGGGACCATGCCAAGCCTACCAGCTTCATTAAGAGACACTTGGGTTTCAGAAATAGAAGCCCAACGGGGACCAGGGCCAAACAGAGACCTGAACAGCCAGCCAAAAACTCACGGGACAAACAAACAAATAAACGGGTTGTCTCATGGCCTGCCAGAACCAACCGGCAGTCGCCATCCCAAGGAGCCAGTTGAAATTATCTTAGGCAGTCTTGCACACAAAATGTGCCCTGCCCCGAGTTTAAAGTGGCTACGGTACACACACTGCCAGCCCCACACAGAATAAATTAACCTAGAAAGCTGTCCCCGGAGACCAATTTCTCAAAGCAGCCACAGAGACGTTATTTCTTGTTTATTTGGCATGGATATTAGGCACTGATGTAAGGAAGAATATTTTTACAAGGAAGTCTACATTTCCTGTTGTTGCTATGTCCATATAACATTTATGTCTATAACAGCTTGGAGTCATGTGGAACATAGAAATTCCTTATTCTTTAAACTTTAACTAATTTGAACTCTTAAACGATTTTCTGTTCTTCGCCTTCTGTAGTACATCAAATGAACCTCTAGAAAAATATGATTCTGTTAACATAAGAACAAAGCACTGGAATACAGTAAATTATATATTCCAAATAGGAAAAAAAAGTATCCCATTAAGACTGTTCCTGGTGTATTTGCATGTTATATTTCAAATGAGCAAACAACATCCAATAATAATTGTGAAGAGCTGCTTCTGACTAACACCCAAAATAGATTTTGATTGTGTTACAGCTATTTGGATCCTAATTGTCTTGAATTGAACTTTTTCTCTGAAGTGCAAAGACATGACATTCATTTTGATTTTCCATATGAATAGAACACAGTACAAAGCAGAAAAAGTGGGAAGAAATGTCAAATTACGTTGATCAACTTATAGCTCTATAGCGCCTCCCTAACACTGTATTAACCAGTTGGTATACAGAGATAGTAATAGTTTATTTACAGTTCACAGGACTGTATTGTTTTTCCATCAAATTATGACGTTTTAACTTTATAGTATTTGCAGTATTTACGCTTACTGGGTGGTCTTCATAAACCTTAGAAGAAAAATATGAGGAAAGCTGGAGATGCAGGCAAACGTGGAGTTTGGTTAACACAAACTTACTCAAAGGTACTCAATAAAACTATTTTGAATCCTAACCATTGCTTGTATTTATTCATTTTTACAAAAGCCTAAGAACAATAAAAATGTTGCTATCATAGAACAGAATATAGGGATATTTACTATTATGTTGCTATGCTAACATCTTGTGGGCATAAATTGTACTACAACATTAAAATGAGAAACTGATATTAGGAGATAAAAAAAGAGAGAATGTTGAATGAACCTTACTTCATATGAACCCAATAGAACCCAGAGTGACAAAAGTGTGACAAACCATTTTAAACTAAAAACTATTCATTAAAAATAGCCAAAGTATCTTCATATTTAATAATATCTGGTTAAATGTTTTAAATATTTATTGTTTAAATGTATAATACTGGATAATGTTAATAAATAACAGCAATTACACAAATCAATATGGGGGGTAAAGAGTAACCAGTGTTAAATATCAGAAGAAAAAAATAATGGCGAATGTTTATGAACGACGACTGTTCTTGGACGCCCCCCCGCTTCCGCGTGGTCCTGTGCAGCTTACGTCGTTTTCTTTCTAGCAGTGACTTAGCATGTTGGGAAACATGGAGGCTGGAAACACAAACACCTAGTGCCATGCTGCTACTGTATTTGAAACAGCATTGCGGTTTGTGTAAAGGGACTATCTCCATTATTTTAAGATGGACCGTTTAAAGTCTCCCGGTGAAATGTTGAAAACAAGCTAGAACCGTCAAGCTAGCACGCGCAAAGTAACCACGGCAACCAAAATGGAAGAGCAGCTGAGACGTGTTCCACAGCAATTCTAGCTAAATGTTTTCACGCTAGTTCTTTTTAGGAATGGGTGATGATCAAGCACTAATAAATACTCGAAGTTGTTCATCAGAATCTTCGATCGAGTAAGTCAGCTAAGGGTGTTTTTGTCGCACTCCGTCTAGATGCTCCTTGTTTAACAACTCGAGACTGACATGAGTAACTTTTGTGGTATCATTTTAGGGGTGTGGATGTATTCACTGACCGTGGTTCTCATGCGAGTTCCTCAAAGGAAAGGGGTTCTAGAGAGTTTTTACTGTTGCCTCCAGAGGAGAAGCTCCATCACTTTGACAGCTCCGTTCGTAGAGGCGAAGACAGCAGAGAGGTGAGTTTGATGTGGTCAGGAAGACTACAATGCAATTGATTTCTTATTGTATAGGCACCTTTGCAGGCCTGTTGAGTTTTAACCTGGTTTAGAAAATATTTTTTAATACAACACTGGCATGGAAGAAAAAAACTTGTGCATGTTCTTATTCTGAACAACTATATAGCAACCGGTTGAGGGGATTAGAAACCCTCCAATCAGAATCAGAATCAGAAATACTTTAATAATCCCAGAGGGAAATGATTTTTTCTCCAAGTTACATACAATACATGTACAAAACTTTGGACGACATGGGCTTAGTGAGCTTGGTGAGATATCTTTATTTTTATTGCAATTTCCATAACATTTGATTTCTTGTTGAATGTAAAACCAGGATTTCTGGCCAGGCTTGCAACACAATAGAGTGAAAAGATCAGGATTTTGTGGTTATGGATGTACATTTCCAAATCTGTGTCAAGCTTGGTTTTTCCCCATGAAACGTATTACTTTTAGGATATCGATCTTTCATATAACCTTTGGTACAGGATATAAGTGCTTATCCAGACTGGTGATGCTGACAGGCTTGAACTGTGTCTGTTTAGTATGATGCTTGCATCCAGGACCTGGTGCGATGTGTGGCCCTGACAAGGCTGATATATGGAGAGAGACATCTGAAACGGGCCCAGGCCCATGCCAGGCTGGCTAAAGCATATCTTCAATTCAAAGGTAATCTGAAAGGCGAACAAAAAAATGCACACTTAGTCGACTGTTTCTTACAATGTAACTTCAGGTTAAACAAAGCTTTTGGATTGGTGAAAGTGCACACATCCCATGATTACAAAATGATCAAGTGCTTTTGATGAGCAGCACCGGGCTGCTAATCACCCTCTAATTCATATTGAAGCAATAATGATGGAGTTAGTTTTTAGCACACTGTTCTGCACTTTGGTTAATGACATGTGTAACGTTCATATGATGATGTTCACCTGAGGCGGTATTTACCTGGTTTAAGGGTTGGTAAGGGCCAAATAATTATGTTGTTGTAATCTTTTTAAAGTTCCTTTCAAATGTAGAGCGTGTACTACCACCTGCCCATTGGTCCTTTTTCTTACTATGCTATTTTAGTTAATCTTTTTAAGTAAAATCTGCACTTGTAAGCATGTAGTTTGGGTGTGATATTACAGATGCTGCTTAAATTGAGAGTTAATGTGTAGATTCTGAACTCTGAATGTTCTTTGCTGACAGGCTGGGGACTGCAGGCTATGGAGCACTTGGTCCTGGCCAAAGAGCAGTTACCTTTCTGTTCATCCTACGGCAATGAAAAGCTGGAGGTTCTCACATGTCTGCTGAGCATACACCTCACAAAGGGGGCTGCTTCCCTACTTACGGACAAATATCCTTTCCTTGAGCATTTTAACAACGATCTAAATGACTGAGCACAGAGTACAAATCAAGTCAAAATTTTACAAAAAAAAATGTTCTTAACTTTTTAACTTTAGAGGACACACACTCCTCTTTTCTGGAGGCAGATAAAATCCTGGAGGACCTTCATCAGCACAATGCTATCAACCATGACGAGAAGATAAAGACACAGCTGGAAATCACCAGTGGTCTACACAGGTAAAGGAGGAATATAAAACATATTTTAGCAGCCAATTGCAAAAGTTCTCCAACTTGAAATTAGAAGTTCTTTGTATTGATTTCTGGGTTCTAATTAAAAAGAATAGATGCCAGAAATTGGTACTTACTGGCATTGTAAGTTGAATGAATTCCATATTCAGTAAGTCAATGTTTCAAACAAATGTTTTGGCCACAAGGTGGCGATAGATTACTGCCAGTTTGTAGAAGTTTTTAGAGAAGGTATTTTTTCCTACTTATGCCTTGATGAGTCATTCAATTTTGTGTAATGAACAGCATCTTATCAATTTATTACTTTTCCCACTGGGATTTTCCAGTCCATTCAACAAAAAGCATGCATGCTCTGCGCTTACAGATATTTTGGGTGTGGTAACGGCTTCATGTTTTAGTTGAAAAGCAGATTCACATGGGGACAAGGTATTTCTACAAGTTAAAGGCTATGCTTTATTTTTTGCATCTTTAGTTGTAAACCTCAGGGATCCTTCATATATTTAAAACATTTGCTGTTCTATTAAATGTCACAATCTTTATTTAGTTTTGTTATTTATTGAAGATGACTGCTCTTTTATTGTGTGTATTTGTTTGTACTGTCTCACAAAATACGTCCATGACTTACGGTGGTGACAGCAAAGGTCTCAGGGGTAGTACTACGTGCTCAGGGAAAGATTAAAGACTTAAGGGATCATGGTGGAGACATGGAGCACATATATCACGTGCCTCTCAAAGTGATAGTGTGTTTTTGGAACTTTGTGCCCAGCAACATCAGAAATAACAGCCACTTGCCATGGTTCAAATCACAAAAATAACTGAGAAGCAATATGGTTCAAGTCCACATTGAAAACTGAGAGAACCACAGGGGGTGACCTATAGTTGTAGGAATTTGTAAATGATGCCATATTATCTGTTTTACAGTCAGTGTTTGTTGACAGTATGTGTGTAATTGAAAAAATGTGCAGACTCTGGCTGGTGTGTGTAAGCTTGCTTTTGTTTGGTGATGACTAAGAATTTGGCATGCCTCTAAAGCTCTGTCAGTCAACATTGTTGTGATGAAGGGGAATGTTCCCACCAAAGCCTGGAACAAAGAAGTAAGTTCAGCAACAGCTACAGATCTTGGCCCAAACATTCTGCAGAGTGTTAGATTCACACTCAAGGTGTGCAGTGTGATGTGATTTTTCCGTCTGGAAAGCTACAGATGTGTCAACACATTTACACATTTCAACATTCTGAAGCTGTCGGAGCTAAGATGACATTTCTTGGCTTAACTGTTAATGACAGTTTGCATAACTCAAGTGATTTAGTTGACAGATTTAATTTAATTAACTATTTTGAGATTGCATTTTAAAAGTGATCTCAATATTAATGAATTCAGAGATGTTATTGTGCAACATCATCTTGCTTTAAATGCACACTTTGTAATAGCCGACTGCAACTAATTTCCAGCAGCTCTTAAGGATGAAACTGTTCTGTATTTTTGCTTAGAGAAATGACATAGTATGGGCGTCTATGATCAAATCCATGATCAAAATTATTATAGCCAAAGTTTGCAATTAGAGATTAGAACTTGCAGAATTCTGCACACATTTTGCCTTTTGTCCGAATTATGTACATTTTAGAGTTATATCAAATATATCAATAAACATACACACTTCTGATGTTGATTTTGCCATGGAAGATGAAAATAAAGGAAAATGGATTTAGAATGACTTGATTGTGTTCTATTAGCACCTTTAAACCACTATTCTGTAGACAACTTAAATAAAAATGAATGATTCCCATAACTAAAGAGAAGTTCATAAATAAATGAGATGACAATTAACTGACACAATGGAAGTCAAACTGAGGGTAGACCAAGAAATCTTTGAGAAAGAATTGTCGACTGCTTAACTGTCTGGCTGAAAAGGTTGAAAACAAGAGCCACGTCATGATGTTTTTACCACACTCAATAGATGTAAACTGAAGATGTTGACATGGCTCATTGTCCCTTGACTTAAGCATCACTGGAAATAAGTGGATAATATGTTGTTTTTTTTTTTAAGCAACTGACTAACAAATCAAGGGCATAAGATGTCTTATAGATTAGATAGATCATGATACAAACAGTAGTTATAGTTTTTAGCAGTTTACAGTCTGTGATACATGTAAAAGGGGGTGTTAAGACCCATTACACTGTAGAATAGGAGAGACACTCTATCTTCTTCTTTTTGTTTCTGTTGCATATAGTTCTATAACTGATTGTTACTTTTAGGAAGTAGGTCAAATGCAAGCCAACGGACAGGGTATTTGTGTGCCTTTTCTTTCTCTCAGTGCAGCTCAGCTTAATTGAACCTGCTGTGATGATAAACGGCTTATTCGACCCCTGATTATGGGATGCATCGGAAAATAAAGCAGTGTTTAGCCATGTTGTATGTGGTCTTGCAGAAACTGTATTCAGTTTATATTCTCATTTACTGAATTTTCAATTAGGTGTACCCGAGTCTTTGCAAGCCACCGTACATATGGTGTTGTCTGGATAGTGCAGTTAAAATGTCTTCTTATGTGTGACTGTGATGTGAAAGATTTATTTACTTCGACATATTTAGCAGATATTTTGTCACTGAAAGATGTGATGGAGTTTAAAGGCACACAATCAAAGTTCTCATCAGTCAGCATACATTTGTTAAAACACCACAGGTTTACTTGAGCAAGCTGTATTTTTTTGTCCTACTGTTTTCATTTAGGCATGCCCATATGCATGATGTTTTTCCGAATGAAAGCCAGGCAATCTTATATCAGCCACGTTCTGGAAATGTTTACAAAAGGCTGCTGTGAGGCTTTGTTGGCAGTACATTCATAAATCTTTAATTATATAAATTCCCTGTCCAGGAGACTTTACTATATTTCAGGAGGATGTGGTATATTATTGTTCTGCCAGGAAGTGCACAAGGATGTAGAGTGAATTAGAGAATAGAGAGGCATTGTCCCTGTCTATGCAAGCAGGCAGAGGGGCAGGACTAAAGCAGTGTTGGATGGAGCTGTGCTCTGGCCATCGTTTCTGCCCTAAAAGGATCTGAAGTGCCTGGCCTGTGAAGATTTATGGGTGAAGAACTTCTTCTGTCCGTCAAGCCTTGGTATTACAACCTTAGATTCATGGGAAAGTTTGAAGAAATGTTTTATCTAACCTGCACTGTTGGTTTATTGAGCCATGAACATCCAAAATTCATGTGTTTCAGAAATGTGAACATGGTGCCACACTGTCAAGTTTAGGCTGTAGGTTCCCAAGCTTACTGCCCCAAATAAAACACACAGCAAATAAACTGTCCTTTGAGAATAAAAAGGTTTTCTGAACATTTGACGGATATGTTAATGGAATCCTAAAGGTTGATTTCAGAACAGATTTAGCATTGTGAACGCTGCATGGTGTGGATGCGGGGAATTATTCTTCCTGTTATGCTTTGTAGCTGTACTGAAGCCAAAGATGGCATACCCAGGATGTTCTGTGCCCTTAGAGAAAGGCCATCCCCTTTATTAGAAAGCTGTATTAAATTTAGAGTCCATTACATGATTTAAAGCTGTTAGTACTGCAGCCTTCCTTATTCAGTTTCCTTGTGTTTGTTCATGCATCTCTCCTTTCTTCCTCACACTCCACTCTCACAACTTGTAGTAGTCAAAGCAACACTGCACAGTACACTAAGAGATAACTTAATAAGTTTAATAAGCTAAATTACTTCTCAACATTTAGTACAGTGTGTTGCTCTAATGTGCCACGAGCATCTCCTTATTTAGACATCTCTGATCAAGAATTGAAGCACACAGCATTTAAAGAGCAATGTAACCTTCTGCCTCAACAGAAGTAGTTGGAAGCTTGTGAGGGGATGTAGGCTTCAACATTAGCCAAAACTTTCTCCTCTTCGAGGTCTGAATTTGGCCAGACATCTTAGTTACTTTTGTAATGTGAAACAGGCTCATATTAATTAAATATTTGCAGCTATTTTTTTCTGTGTTTTCAATTAATCTTATACATTGTGTCCTCAAGCAAATTTAGGAAAAATTAGATTCAATACAGATGTTGCATGATGCGTATTTTCTTCTGGGTACAAAACATTTGAAATAAAGATAGAAAACCTATGATGAAAATGTCAGAAACCTGGAGTACAACTAAATGGAGATAACAGTAGACTCAGGTGGACAGTGAGCGGTTTACAGATGTTTGGTTTATTTTGTTAGCCGCTCTGCCCATTTTAGTGTGTCCTGTGTCTTATAGGTTCTACAAGAGACAGAACCAACTAGAGGAGGCATTACTCCAGTGTGAGAAGTCTTTGGAGCTGCTAAAGGATTGTAATCAGCCTCAGAAGACTTGCTCTGTCTATAGAGACATGGCTGCCATTGAGCAGGACCGAGGTCATGTGGACAGAGCTGTACAGCACCTCACCAAGGTACGTAGGAAGCCTTCTACACAACACACAAAAAGACATATGTTTCTTAAAAACTGTGTAAAGCTGTAGGAGGTAATATTCCTTCTTCACATGGTTGGTATCTGCTAGGCTCATGCCATTGCCATGAGTCACACTCCAGAGGGGCTTGAAGGGGCCCAGATCTCCCACAGCCTAGCTCTCATTCTGTCTTCTGCAGCAGAGTCCCATCACAATGGTGAGCCTATTCACACACACAGTCTTTGGGATCTGGAAGCATGCGCAAGGGGTTAATTAAGATCTCAAAATCTCTATATGTCAAATTCTTTAAGTTGTACTCATGGCAGCTTCATGAAAGCCTGTTTGAAGAGCGAGTTCTGGCATGGTACCAATGTCAAGGCCGCTGTGAGCTCATTGAAGGCTGAGCAAAATATCTGGAACTGAGGGAAGACTGTTGGACTGTTGTTCTGTGCTATCTGTGGTTTGGTTGGCATTAGATTAGATTAGATTAATCCATCCGTTTTCAGAATAACGGTTTCTGTCAGCTTGTCTTTATTCATGAGCATCCTTTTTTGTGTTTTTCTCCATGTTGCTGTAGACACTCCAGATCACTATTTTGAACAAAGTCTAGCTGCTTACAAGAAGTCTGTAGGTCCACAGGATCCAGCTTTCCTCGCAGCCCAAGATGACTTCTGCCGCTTTCTCCTCATTAATGGGCAGCAAGAGGTCTGCATCGCTTCCAAACTATCCTTTCTTCAAAGGCATTCAGATTGTATCATCTAAACATTCTCCACTGGCACAGAAAAGTCATAAGACATTTTGAAACCCATTTTCAAATTTACATTATTCACACATTCATGAAACAACCATTTAGAACAATAATATTAGCGAACAGCAGTTCAATTTAGTTCTGCTATTCATTGATGTTATATTATTTATATTTTTTTAATATATTTTCAGAAATGTGTGGCGATCCAGAGAGCCTCTCTTGATTCTAAAAGATCTACATTTGGTGATATGAGCTCTGAGGTAGCGGACACTCTTCAGCTAATAGGAAGTGTGGAGATGGCCAAGGGCCAGATGGACCAGGCCCACAAGACCATGACAAAGGTAATAATCATTTGTCACAGAACAACTAAAGCATGCCTAATTTCTGTGTTGTTCACAACTTTTATGTAAGTAATGCTGGAGAGAAGAACAGTTGCCATCAATCGGCATGATATTGCCCGAGGCAAGGGGTATGTCTGAGAGGTTTTAAGAAAAAACACAGGAGTGAGCTGGTTTGTACGCCTACCAGAGTGAAAGGACGACTGGGCTGTCCAAAGTATACAAAAAGAGTCACTGTCATTTTAAGATGAGCTATTTCCACTATCTCTCCAGAGCACGGTGACATCAGAGTCGTACACTAATCTTGGAAGGGGTTAGTGTGCAGAGCCCTCCCTGGTGTAAAATATCACACAGAGTGACTTTGTGTTTCTTCAGCCTGGATGGAACCTCACAGATTAGAAATACAACTCTGGAGAGAAAACTGACCACAATTACTGTGGTATGCCACGATACCAGCTGAAGCCAAAGTAATGCTTTTTACTTTAAATAAACCAGTAATTTAGTTACTTTAACTTTCCTCCTATTTCAATAACTTTATTTTACTCTTATGATTTCTTATGTAATGAGCACTCCTGTTTTTCCACATAACTGTATGACTATCCATTTACCACATGAAGTCAATTCTGCCATCAACTGAACTTCTCGTTGCTCATTCTAGCCAGGACATGTTTGTAAGGGAAGCTGCCTGGTTGCTATGTTACTTTGTTGTTGCTATCTGAGGGGCTCCAAGTATGACAGGGTACATCAGGGCTCACTTCACCACGTTCAACTCGTAACCTTTCTTAACCCAGAACAGATATGTTGGATGGGTTTCTTTTTTACAGCTGTCATCCTTACACATTGCATTTATTTTTCCAAAGGAAAGCTGGAGGAAAGAAACTGCTAAAAACAATGAACAATGGTACACACATTCTAGTTTTCCCCCTTCTTCCTCTGAAGTACTGTTGAAAAAACAACCTTCCATTACATCAACCTTAGCAACAGTGAAAACATCGAAGAAGCCAAAGGGATCTGTTCCAGATTACCAGTGTTTTGCTTTTTCCAGTAATGAGGGAAACTTTTCACTCCAAACTTCTCAGCTTCAGAGTTTCATGTTTCATTATGTGTGATGATTACAAAAAATAGAGTCTTTATATTAAATATTTGGCATCACTGTGTGTAATCATGTACATATGTTTAAACTTTTCAGTAATATGATTTTGGTAATAGTTCATTACATCATGGTTTAATTTCATTTTTGCTGAGGAAATAACCTGGTGATTTCTGGGGTGTAAGTAAAAAGTACAGTGTTTCTGTGGCTCGACTCTCCAAGTGGTCAGCACAGGTGTTGTATAAAACTTGGATCGCCACAGTGGGTTATTTTGGTATGTTTAGTGCATCTACATGTTGCTAGGAAGTGCCTCTTCCCCTCTGAGTATGAGTTTCACCTCTCATATTCAACTGACCCCTCTCTCTGCTTTGATTTTTATGTTTTAACTTTAGTGCCTGAAGATCCAGAATTTGCTATATGGCCCTCAGCACAAGAAAGCAAAAGCTACACAGAAAGCTGTGAACATGTTAGCAAGGTAAATCTTCAATACAGAAAACTTCAGTTTAAAGTTTGCGCTTAGCTAAAATTGTAATTTGTAGCACATTATGTACTTTGCATGGTATAAATGACCAAGTAAGAACATTGTGTAAGTGGTATCATTAAGAAAAAAGTCACAGAACTACATGTTTTAGAGACGAACAATTTGTTGTTTGGTTTTCAGGGTACCAGAGGTGGTTGAGAGGCAGCGGAGCCAAAGCAGAAAAGGAAAAAAAGCTGAGACAGTTCCAGTTGTATCTACCAGCGGTAACGATGACAACTCCACTTCTGACATCTGAAACTTTCAATATCATTGCTATTTCTACTTTTTTTTTCCTTAAATAAGTTCTTTTTTTTTGCCAGGAGGTATTTAGCACACAACCCCTTTTTTTAAATGCAAGCTACATTTTTTATCATGCCAAGTGAATGATGACCTTGAAAAAAATGACTCAAACAAAACATTATTATCATATTCTTTAATTTTGCTAATATATTTGTCAATTTTCACCTAAAGGCTGAAAGAAAGTCAACTTAAGCAAATGTGTCATTTCTTAAACAAAAATCTTTCAAACAACATGTGTTTCTGTCAATTTAACAACATTTAAGACTGAATCAATATTTCTTTCAACATGAATTGATTGCCAATCTTCCGATGTCATAGTTTTCTTAATGATGAGAAATGTATCCAATCACACTTTGTACACATGCATAGTAACCAGACAGAAATTATCTTTGAAGACATCATTAAGTGCACTGATTATGTTTGCCAGGGCACTTAAGCGCAACAGATCTTCTAAATAAAGTTTCTTTCTGTCAGCTTTTAACTGACGCATAACTTTCATTCCTAATATTGCATTTTTTAAATTCGATAATATGACTTCAAAAGTGAAAAAGAAATAACATTAAAGGAGAGACAATGACAGTGTTCAAAAAATATAACCAGATTTTAATTCTAGTGTTCCATTACTACCTCTGCAAGCATACGACACAACAAACTGCAGTGAGCACTCAATGGCACTAAGCTGATGATCCAAAAATAGTGAGTCATAAATACACTCTAAGTCAGTGCAAAGTTGAATCCTTCAAGCGAACACTGATAACCAACAACGGTGGACAAAAAAAGATGCCATTCACAGTAGTCACAAACCATCATTCATCATCAGTGGTGCATCTTTATTTTGAGTTGGTTTATTCTACTTTACTTTAGGATTTTCAAATAGATTTTTTTTATATCTTGGCAGTGCAGTACTTAATTTTCCTCCCAAAAAATTCAAATAACACAGTTCTAGGGATCAAAACGGTATATATGGCAGTGGTAAGTACCACGTAAACATACAGTTACAACATGCACATCTTTCACTATTTGTTACGATAATGCCTATTTAATCGTGGACAAATCAATATATTTTCCCATTTTTGAAAATTAGAAATGTGCTGTTAGAAAACCAAATAGTCTGAAAACACCAAACGTGGTAAGTTATTTCACTCCTTTTTTAATGCCATGCTAACTTAGGCCGTTTTTTTAATCCAGTACAACTATAAAGGTACCAGCTACAATCTTCACCACCTCCTGTAAGTGTTAATGAACTAAAGCTGTGAACTGACACCATTACAGTTTTGTAAAGGTACTCAAAAAAACAGAACAAATGAAAGCATCAGTGTTCAGTTTATGACTCAAATGGCCTTGTGTTGGGTCTACGTTGAACCATTGTATCAATATCATGGCAAATATAGCACTGGAGTGATGACTTAGTTGACATTGCGCTGTAAACTGCAGACCTGGTTAGTATAAAAATAGAAATGTAAAGAGAATAAACAAAGCTATTTGAGGATAAACTGTCTGCCAAACACATGAAAGCACCACACATTGGTATCTCCTTCTATGAATCACTTTTGTATTTAGATGTAAGTGTTAGTTGGCTCTTTTGTAGTTGCATAAAAAGCTATTTTACCAAACGTTCTACCAAATCATTATCTATCACACCAAAATCATGGAGATATTTCTGTTTGCTGATAGACTCTAAAACCATTAAAACAGCCTTGTGTGGGAGCTGCTTCATTCAAATGATTGGTTATTTTCTTTGTCAGTCATCTGTGGGGCTTTGAAGGAAAAGGGTTGCAACTCTCTTTTCCTGGGAAACTGTCTCCGATGCAGCTTCAACAACCCTGTCCTTTACATCCATCCTAAAGGGGAAGGATTTCTCTGCAGGGCCCAACTCAACGTGTTTCTTGATGATTTCAGATGACGATGCTCCTTCGTTACTGAAGCCTTCTAAGCCCTCACCAAGAGTGACCTCTTCCTGGGAAACTCTGATACCATATCCTCCTCCTGCCCCTCCTTGGAAGGCTTTCTCAAGATCCAGGTTAGAGGACCTGAGAGCTGCCATGATTTGCTCTTCTGAGAGATCATCTCCCTCTTCCAGCAGCCCAGAGTCTTCCAGGGTCTGAGAAACATTCAACTCTGCAACTATTGTCATGGTTCCATTGTCACTTGACTGTTCCACTTTTTTTACCGCTACGTTCTTTGGATTTTCACTGCTCACTTTTGAGAGGAAAGCCAACTCCTCCTTCAGAGGACCCGACACTGAGCTCTGTAGCTTCTGAAGAGCTCCCCTCAGCTGCTCTTTCGGCTCCAAAGAGTCCTCCCTCAGGTACTCAAGCACTGACTCTTGTACAACTGGTGACACACAAACCTCTTCTTCAATGATGCACTCTGGAAAATTCTCTCTGCCAAACAAGAACTCGCCAGAATTTGGCTTGTATTCATCACTTACAACCACTCTTCTTTGTGTAGGACTTTCATCTTGATAATACCTCTCATCTGATAGGTCATCTACCATGCCATAGTGACCATATGACATTATTCCACCTTCCTCCGGCTCTGAAAGGTTGTCATCTGGTGTAGACACAAAATACTCATTAGACTCCTGGTCATGGGTAAAAAGTGGAGATCCACGCTCCCTAGAAACTTCCTGTACTTGCACAAATCCACATCTTAACTGGTCTGTGCTTCTTAAAGAGGATTTCACTGTATCATCATCATCACCCCTCACCGGTCGAGAGCTATGAGAGACATTCTCTAGCTCCTCGATATGGAAGTGTGTTGAGGGCTCATAAAAACTCGACCTGCTTTGCTGGTCCACCTCTGTCTCCTCATCACTGTGAGACTCTACTGGCTCCTCAATGATTTCAACGTTTACCGACTTGTTCTGAAGGTTTTCCCCTCCTTGAAGGCTGCTTAGCAGACTCTTGATCATGTTTCCTGTCGCCGTGTCCTCGAAGTCTTCCAGTGACACCTTCTTTACTCCCTGGCCCAGGAGCTCATCCAGGACAGAGTCCTCAGAAAAATCCAGCTCCTCCTCCACCTTGGATTCCAAAACAATCTGCGTCTTAGTCGTGCCATCCTCCTGCTCACTTTTCTCCACATGATATACGACCTTTGAGTCTCCCGATGAACATACTTTAGCCTCTAAACCTGCTGGTTTCATTACTTTCTCAATTATCTCTTCTACAGATACATTGTCTAATATCTTTTTCTCAGTTGAGCTTAATGTAGACTCTCCTTTTTTGTCTTCAAACTCATGAGCGCCACTATCTCTTTCGCTGGACACATGCTGCTTCCTTTCTGTCTCCATTTTTGCGCTCCTGCTCATCATCGGAGGCGAAACCACTCTCACTGACTTGGATTCAGCAGGACTGCTGCTGTGGCTCTCTTGAGAGACATTTATGACCCTCACAGTTTTCTCTTCTGTTGCCGTTTTCCGCATACTTGAACTCATCTGCTTTTCTCTCTGGCCTACTTGTTTGTGATTGTCGGTGGAAGACAGGGTAGACGAGGCAGCTCGAGCTTTGTTGAATGAAATCATATCCCTCCTGGATGCTGGACTCTGATGACGAGCCCTCCCTTCAACTGAAATGGGAATGACCCTTGAGGGACTTCTTGACCCAGAGGGGGGCACCGGGGACCTTCTCAGGTTTGTCGGTGGCGTGTATCTGACATCCATATGTTGTCTGGTGGTTAGGGTGGAAGCCTTGGGGATGTAGGGCTGAGCAGGCATCCTTATATCTGAAGCAAAGAGGGAATTAGCATAAAAAGTGAAGCATTTGCAAATTTTGTTCATAGTTGGATAACAAAATTGGATAAATAATTTCTTTATTCTGACAGCAGATGGTCGTGCAAGTTATTTAAATGGTCCTCTAATTAATGAAAGAACAAATTAGATGCATTTGAATACAGCACCTATTATTCGTTCCCTCTGATGTTGATTCCTCCTCCTCTGAGGATCTTGCAGATTAATCCTCTCTCCTTCCAGAAGAGCTCTGAATAGACAAGAGAAAATATTTCTGAAAACAAAGGCAGATGCTTCAGGATATTTCACTGTTTCAAATATTTTTCCCCCATGGTTAGTAAATAAGATCAAATACCTCACCAGACGTTGAAACTCATTCAGTTCAGCCATTTCAACCTCCGCAAACTAAACACAAGGCTTACAAGATGGAATGAATCCTGGACCTGGCCATATAGGGCAGTAATCATCATATCAAACTTCATATCCATTCTTTTTTCTTTTCTTTCTTGTCAAAGAAAAATATTCAGTAGAAATCCCTTAAACAGCTCACCTTTTCTTGGTCATGCTTCAACAGACGAACCAGAGTGCCTTAAAATTGAACAACCTCTCCAGGGAGCGCTTTGGAAAAGACTGACCTAAAAATAACGGCTACAATGTGGGGCTGTCCAAACTCTTCCCAATAAATCCCATGGCAAAAGCTGACTCGTGATGCTTACAACAACACATGCCACTACCACGTTTCCAAGCAAGTGCTCTGGCTATTCCAGAGTCCAAAATAAACCAGATGTGCCACAGAAGAGTCCTTATTGAGTCAACCTGAGGTAGATTGACCTCCAAAGAATTTTCTAGGGAAATGTCATCAGATAAATTTGGTATCCTTGATCAGTTATGCAAGGGCTGTAAAGCCACAATAATTTAATCTTTAAATGTCCAACACTTCATTAAAGAGACAGGATTTTGTGAAGCCGTATGTTATGACTCCAAAGATGAAAGACGGAAAAAGAAATCTCCCGTTTTGTCAACACAACCCACACATGATGTTACAACTGTATGAAAGATAAATGTGTTACACATGTGTTTTTTTAATGTCAGCCTCTTATTTTTGTTTTATATAATGAGGGACTGTGATGGACTGAAATAATCTAATATGTTATAAACATTATAACTTCAGGTTGTAGGTCAGTCAGCAAGAAAATCTGTTCCTGAAGATATGGAAATATATCTTACCAAAATAGCAGCTTTTTTGTAGATAACCACTTACAGAAAGACATTTCTGAGCAAATCTTTTAACATGTGCTCATATTCTAAAGTTGTTTATTTGTGTGTTTTGTTCTAGTAGTACATAGAACATAGCCGTTTTTTACCCTGTGCTTTTACAACCATGAGGAGCAGGAATGGTGCAGGGAAGGCCAAATTGAGCGTGGTCATCACCTGTAAGCAGCCACCTCCATGCCCAGGTCCATCTTCACCTGGAGAAGGTGCTGATGCTCTCTCATCTTCTCTGCCATAGCTTCCCCCATCATGTTCCTCTCATGCTGCAGCTGCTCAATAATGATCTGGAGGCAAATCGTTGAGGCAAGCTGTCACGGATACCTTTTAATTCATTATGTATTTTTCTTATCCATGCATTATCCATGCACTAAGAGCATATAGGTCTCTGTTCCACAACATTGTGTGTTGTTTGTGCATATTGAGCGCACACACATACATTCATACAGAATTTCATACACTTTTTCTTTTTTTATTCTTACATCAACAACATTTTTTTTTTAAATTTATGCTCGTAGAGGAAACCCTGTTTCAGGGCATGGCATTATAGTCACGTAAAACTGACCAGCCTGTCTGAAGCTTCATCTTTAGGAGGCTAATAGGGATTTGTCAGTCTGACAGCTAATAGAATTAAAGGCCTGGAGTAACTTAGCAACTGAGGTACTTGGGAAACAGACTGCTGAGGTCAAATGTTGCATTTAAGATTCCTGGTTCTGACATTTATAGAAAGTTTAACTCAATATTACTAATCACGTTAAATATCAAGAAAAATCTACCAGTCTGAGATATCCCTTTGTTACTTTTTATGATGATAAGCTTCTATTGTGAAAACCGAATTAAATATTATTGAAAACAATCATTCAGACCTAATAATCAGAGTAATCTATAATTGATTAGAAACAGCCTACAGCAGCTGCAGCTCCACCAGTCTTTAAGAACAGAGGGTGTGGCAGGAGGGAGAGGCACACTCTCCCACGGTGGAGATTGTTCTGTTATCTGAACCGTTATTTTGGAGGAATAAAGTGTTATTCTAAAGGCTCTTAAAATGTTCAAACAAAAAGTAGAACATCTTTCTAAATTTGGGCCCAATTTAGATAATTAAATGATCTCTCATTTGTTTGTAATAGATTTTTCCTTACCTCGTATTCGCTTAAATCCACACGGAATTTCTCTTCCATATGCATCAGCTGTTCCTCCAGATGCATTTGGACTTTACTCTGTTTTTCAGCCTCTGTGTGCAATTTTCCCAACTCAGAAGAATACATCATCTTTTCCCGCTGCAGATCACTCAGCTTGGCTTGGTCCTCTTTAATCAGCCGCTCCATGTCCTCTACCTTCCGTTGGTACATGTCAAATGTTTCTATCCAGCCCTCGGACAGGCCACGGGCGTATTCCTGCACCTCCTCCACGGAGACCACCGGCGGCCCGCGGTAAGTTTGCGTGATGACGGGCACCACCCGGGACTCCACCTGGTGCCGGAGGTGCTCCATCTCGCGCCTGTGCGCGTCCTCCAAGCACTTGTACTCGTTCTCCAGTCGAAAAAGCCGCTGCTGGAGATCCGCGTTGATTTTGTGGGTTTGCTGGAGCTCCTTCTCGCAGCCTTTCAGCTCCCCGTTCATGTCCCGGCACACCTCCGTCTGCTCGCTGCACATCGACTCGATCGTCTGCAGCTCTCGCCATAGCTTCTCCTTCTCCATCTCAGCCTGGGACTTCTCGAACGACAGCTGTCCCACCATTTTCCGCAGGCCCTGCACCTCGGCTTTGCACTTCTGCTCCCACTGGGCCGGCCTCCTCACCTGTCTCAGTTTGTTGATTTCAGTGATCAGATGCGCATTTTCCTGCTCCAGCTGCTTCGTTCTGGACAGATATTGGGTAAGTCTGCTGTTGAGCTCTTGCAGCTGTTGTTTTTCGCTCTCAAAAGTTCTCTTGTAAGGAAGCATGTTGGCTGTGGTTAATAGTTTTTAAAAAAGTCCGTTAAAAATATTAGCCTTGCGCGTTTATTTATTGTGGGGCTTGTCCCGGATTCATTTGCGTGTCCGTCTGCTGGCACAACTGATGTCATTTGCGATCAGTGCCCTTTGACAAGTGCAGGAGGAGGAGGGCGGATCCTGGCTGCATCACACAGGAGCGTCCCGGGCTCAGCCCGGCCCCGGCAGATGTTATGCTGCATTCAAGGCCTCTGAGAAATATTGAAAAATTGACCAATATTTCTTTAAACTGCCCAGTTCAACATTTTAATGAGTTTAGGGGGAACACAAAAGAGGTCTAGTAGGTATGCAAAATACAGAGCCTTTAATATAAGTAAAACAATAAGAAATTTAAGAAATCTATATTCTTCCAAAGTCTAAATACAAGATTAGTTTTGCTTGCATTCTAATCGAAGAGTTACGTTATGGGGTTATTACGCCCAAGTAATCCATTTTCGTTTCAAATGATTTCAATTTAGTGTCATTGTGGCTGGAGTTTACTGATACAGTTGAATGCATCACTTCCGTACGCACAAAGGAATATTTGAAAAGTGCTCCCCCGTGTGGTCAAACATGTGAGTTACAAGACTTAAAATAACTCACTCCATTTCGTGCACAAATAGAGTCAAAGTCGTTTCTTCTTTCCTCACAACAACCCGAAACACGATGAACAAGAGGGAAACCGTTCTCGTTACAGGTAAAATCCGCATGAGCATTGAGAGGCATCAAGGCAGTCTTTCTTCTTAAATGATTACGCTTGTGCCATTAAGGTTTCGGACCGTTCCGACAGTTCTTGGTGAACCCCAGCTGGGAAGCAACTCAGGTAATATCTGAAATCGCTCTTGAGTTTGTGCTGAAGCTTCCCTGCCTTATGTATTCACTACTGAGGGCTCCTGCAGGCGCTGAAGTTGGCCGGACTGGGAGAAAAGATCGACATTCACATTAGAGAGGTGCCAGTAAGTTACGTTGGAGCCCAGGAGATAATTACAGAACTTTGGCAAAGTCTTAAACCAAAGGTAAAAATGTAATGTATTTGACTCACGTTAGAAATAGTTCATTATTCCCTATAGATGTATGTATATAGAAATATAGAAATATGTGCTCTCTTACACTCATACACATCTTTATCATGCAAAATGACAAAGTGCACTTGTGTGCATGTGCTGTTATAGTTTGCTGTTCATCTGGGCATTGCAAGAGGTTCCAGTCTTGTTATTTTGGAGCAGACTGGGAAAAACAGCAGATATACAGATGCAGATGTGCGTGGATTCTGTCCTGAAAATCAATGCTGCATCAAAGGCGGACCAGAAAAACTGGACTCTGTTGTGAACATGAAGGTTGTGTGGAAGCACGCCAAACGCTCAGGGATGGATGTGGTTTATTCCAGAGATGCTGGCAGGTAAGCAGTCCTCTGTAAACTACAGTAACACACATGAGTGAGATACTTATGCAATGTGTGTGATTTTTTTTTTCAGATACCTGTGTGAATTTGCATATTACTGCTCACTTTATCACGGTCAGCGGAGAGCCGCTTTAATCCACCTACCCTCATCTGGCAGCCTTGCATCGACTGACCGACTGGTCCCCTCTCTGCAGGCCCTCGTTCTCGCCATGCTCCAACAGCTGGAGGACACTGACCAACAAGAAGAGCAACACACTCGCATCGGGGTAGATGCTCACGAGGCAGACATTTCACATTAAGACGCCACCTTACCGAGATGGAAAAGACATTTCAGCATACAGGTAAAAACAATCAGAAGAAGCAAGTTCTCATTTATTTATTTATTTATTTATTCCAAAAATTCTGAACAAAAGTAAAATACGAGAAATTCTCAGATACACATTTGGAGATGTCAAAAATACACCGTCTCAGCTATAGGTGTGAAAAACTTTTGAGGCCTCAGATACAGAGCTTGAAAGAAGACAGTCTTGTGAAACTCCTCCAATTTCCTTCCCCAATCAATTTATGAACACAGATTTTGCAAAAGCGTTATAATAGGATAATAGTAGTAGACCAAGGCCCCACAGAAGATGTAGGAATGCAAATCATGAAAACATAGACGTGATAATAATGAACATCAAACCTATTATTGCATGAGAATGCATGGATGCATCCCCAATTAACCTGACATTTGTAGAAAGAACATTTCTTAAAGGATTAAAATGACTAAACTGAAAATAGTAAATGGTATATTATGCTGGAAGTCTAAGGTAATGCAATAGAGCAACTAGTGTTGAAGCTGTAAACTATCAACTTTTTCTAACCATGTTGTTCACTTGTTACCGTGACTACCCGTAATCTACACAACACCCCTGTCATGTATCCACGTGTTTGCTGTAGCTGTAGTTTAGACAGGTTTGTGATCTAATAGTAACTTGTAGTCCGCCTTACAGCTTAAATGTCTACTCTCAGAACTAAAAAGCTCAAACATGTGTTGATACATCCAGACTGGAGAAATATAAATACACAGATATGTCAACTTCTCAAACAGTTGGCTTGTCAGTGGTGATTTCTATGCCAATGTGATATTCAGCAGCAATCAGACTGTTTTTAACAAAATATTATGCACTCACAGATTTAGAAAAAACTTGGCTGAGCACCCGAATGTCACACATCTTAACCGGGGGCTTATTTATGATTACATTTTTATTGCTTTAGGATATTCACTTAGATGCAGATTTTTTTTTTAATCCCTGCCCAGTGACTGAAACAGAGTCAACACAAAGTGTCTAGGGCAAAAGTAAGAAGTACAGTTAAGTTTTTTTACAAGAGGCTTTAAGCTTTACCTTTGCCACATTTTTGGTAATGATAAAAGATCCACTGAGAGGACTGAGCGGACATTGTTTAAGTTGTGATTTTTTTGAGTAGTGGAAGAAAAGGTATGTAGAAATGTTGACTGACAAAAACACCCAAATATGGTCCGTTATAAAATAACATAGACCTCAGTCAGGAAAGGAGTCAGAAACATGGTGTCATTCAATGGGTAGAATACAGAGTTTTTTCCCTCTTTTTTTGTCTTTTTATTTTGCTTTGACTCAAAGAGTTAAGTTGATTTCACCATAAGGGAGGAACGTGCACAAAGTGGAGTAGTGGCTTGCTCCGTGGTGTTTATGTGTCGGAACACAGAGCTGTTCTCATTACACTTATCCAGACTCACATACAAATGGAAAACAAATGCAATGTTGTTTAGCAATAATCTTAAGTTTGAAAATGGGATGATGGCTTCACGCAAATGGCATAAAATGTGTTTATTTTATTTTTTGGAGGTGATTAATATATTTCCCTTCTTAAATAGTCCCAGGTTATCTTTTAGATCCATATGTGCATTTTAGAGTAGAAAATTAAAGTTGTGTTTTGAGGAGTTAAGGTTGTGGTAACATTTTGGGAGTTAGTGTAGATGGAATGTTATATGGTAAATATGTTAAGTTCTGCCTCATTATCTTATTATACACCTTACTGCACTGGCTTTTTTCTGTTAATATGAAATAGAGTGAAAGGTGATTTGTTTAAGCTAATTGTCTAAGTTAATAATTAATTAAGTTAATTGCATCATGTAAGTATTACTTGAAACAGCTCCAACAGAAAACATCATGCTGAGGGGTTGGGAAGTAATTTTTCTTTTCACCAAGATTAAACACAATTTGTAAACCACTCAGCTGTATACTCATAGGTTAAACTCACAACTCTTTTATTCCACCTCTCGTCCAAGTTTGCTCTGAGGTTTAGATACATCCCTGTTCTACCCAGGTGAGGTCTTGGTTAAAACTGTTGAGAATGAGATGTATTTGATTTCGGTGTGACAAATATATTCAAAAACAGTGAGGTAGATATATGTCTGAAGGGAAAAAAAAATGTTTAAAGACCCCCAGTTATGACACCATGGACAAAGCATACAAAAAAAATCCAACTTTATACTGAATCATGGGGTATTTATACAGTGATTTATACTTTTATCACAAAAGGAAAGTAAAAAATAAATAAATAAACACTCCTACAGAAAAAGTTCAGGAAAGGAGGAAAAAAATCGCCAGGCAACATGAGAAGAAATCCTTCAAAACACTTTCAATATTTAGCCACTGTAAGACCTTTTTCATTCATGACATTGAAACTTGTTCCCTTCCCTGGTCTTTTACCCATCCTGTATTTGGTTTTCAGAGGTGGTGAATGTAGACAATCACTTTCAAATCTCACTTTGAAGAAATGACATTAGCAGAAGCAGTGGTATTGTGCTGAATGGAAAAAAGAAAGGAGCAGATTCTAAATGCTGAGAAGATGCTTGGCGTAATTAAGGCAAAAAAGACAACCCAATTAGCCCTATTTTTCAGTGAAGAGGCATGAAACAGATGGGTTAAAAAACAAATCTGGTACTGGCATAATCACCTTGTATATTTGAACTAATCCTGACTCTGAAAGTAGGCACTAGGGAGACAGGTACAGTTTGCTTTAAAGGTCAGCATGGGGTCCATAGAGAAAGAGAAAGTATTGTTTATGGATAAAATGAGCAGGGTGGGATAGGAGGGGCCTATACAGGGTGATATGAGAATGTATGGGGAAAGCAAAGCCTTTACTTTGACCTGAGATTGAGTCGCACCTATAAAGCACTGCTAGGCGCAGTGCTAGACAACACAAGTACAAAAAAGGGTGCAGAAAGTACACGCTCACACATTGAGCTAAGGTGTCCATTCCAAATAATAATTAGAATAATAATATTAAGAATAATATAGACATCCACAAAACAAAAACAGGAAGAAAACGTAATAAAAATAAAAGGCAATTGAACAAATTGTAGTGTTACTGAAAACTTGTAGGGAAAGACGTTTATTTTTAACTTTTAAACAGAGCTAAACGATATTAAAAATGGACTGTGGTGGAGACAATGAAATACCAAACCTGAAGGACATGAGTATGTGTATATATATAAATCTATATATATACACATATATATGTATGTACATATATGTATACATACATGCATATCTCCGATAGAGAAAAAAGAATAAAAATAGCAGCTTTGTTTTATACAGACATACAGGCAAACATTTTTAACCATAAAAAGGTTTTAAAAAAGTGACAAAACCAACGTGTATAAAAATGATCCTGCAGTCAAAATACAACTGTAAGACCTTTTATAAGTGTTTGAAATGCAATGACTATGATAGAAGAGACCTCTGACATAAAAGTTGTCTCTAAGCTACTAAAATCCAATTTTAACAGCTCCTTGTTTCATACGTCCTGCTTGGTGCTTCATATTTGGTGCCACTGAATATGTTTCCCACACACAAAGCACACATTATTTTAATGAGGCGTTGGCGTGGGGGAGTCATATTGCCAAATTAAGTGTGAGAGTCACTATGCTGTATTAAATGGAGTTTTTTTTCTCATCTCTTTTTTATTTAAATAATTACAGAGTCTAAGGCTGTGATTCAGAGTTTCCTGAATCAAAGTGATGCAGGAGAAAGTTGTGTCAGGTTCTGTCTGCTTGGATATGGGGCATAATGCCAAGTTTTAATGAGCCTATTTATTCTCAGACACTCGTTTGGGATGCAAATTATTACACTAAACAGAAAAAAGGATGTATTTATCTATTTAAATATCACTTTTTTCTCGGGGCGTAGAAGCAGCAGAAGCACAGATTTGGGAGGGGAGATTGCGAATATGCGTGCTTTTGTGTATCACAGAAAAAAAAAGATCTGATTGTCAATTCAGTTGGAGATTCATTTAACGATGAATTGTTTTTACTCAAGTATTCATACTGCCCCGTGATTATGTCCAAGTTGTTTAAGTGGAGTTTACGATTTGTCAACTGTGGATATTTGTTTTTAATGTAGAGTATCTACACAGTGCACAGAGAGACTCGTGCTTTTGCCTCAAGTAGGGACTCTTCAGTCCTATTGCGTTAGTGTAATGGTTACCACAAAACTTCTTTTCATTCATCATTTCAGAATTCATACATATAGAAAATTCAGTCTGTTTCTTTGTTGGCTTCTCAATGGCCAAATTCACTTCTAAGAAATTTTGCATTTCATAGAAAAAGACGTCCCAAGAAGTCCGAAAAACACCATAAGACTTTGGTATTATTGCACAGACTTATCACAACTCTGAATCACACCCTTCATTAAAAAAGGGGATCATTTTATGAAACTGAAGAAAAATGTTTGATTTGGCAATAGTTTGGCAGATATAAAACAGGCCCTCTACCATTTTGACCCTCGGCTGACAGGATCTGTTGGAAATATTAATATTCAAAAGAAGCATTAGTTCTTAATTCTTAGACCGACCTCTCTAATGGAGGCATCCTCACACAGAGTGAACTAGCCTACTGAGGAAAAGAAAGTCATTTTGATGGAAAGTCCTGATAGAAATGGATCTATACCCAATTGTGGAGAGAATGATGTGTTTGTATAAATACACACTCAAATATCCATCGCATCCTCTCTGAGATCCTAAGGAAAAAAAGTGCTCTTCTGTTGGTTTTGCTGGCGGATATGCTAGATTTCTTTTTCTCAAAGTTCATATGTAAGTCTGTAGGTCAAGATAAAAGCCTGTGTTTTTCTTCTTGAAGAAGTTGTATATAAGAAAAGTTGAAATACAGACTTCATAGGAAGGAGTCCCCCAGTGTGTCTGATCATACTTCCAACGCTCAACGCTTCTGTACTGTTTTACAGTTTGCAGAGTTTCGGTTTGACCTTTTAGAAGTGGAGAGACCATCTACTGGCACACAGTAGGACAAAGTCATTTTCTTACCTCATTATCCCTTCCTTAAGAGACTGAGATAGGTTTTGGTTACCCTGTGTGAGAGGAGAAGGGGGGCTGGACTGATATCAGCAGGCTGACGACTGGGGCAGTGGCAATGCCCGTTCGTTCTTTCTTCCCCCGTTCATGTGTGCATAAGGTTGCAACTCATCAAAGTTAGGCCTTAGCATCACAACGGGCCCGTTGGCCGACACATGTCCCGAGTGCTTTTCCAAGGCTTGTCCTGGAGACGACACAGCCGAGGCTACTTGGCCTGGGGCTGAGAGAGATACAGGTCCAAGTAATGGCGTACTGGGGCCTTGCAAGGGGGATAAATGCTGCGTGCAAGGAGGCGACACACCTCCTATACAACCAGACGAGGAAACGAGGGCAGAAGAAGGCTGCCTTGTGGATACAGAGTCCAGTGGAATGTTCTCCATGTTTTCTACCTCCATATCCAACTCCTCTGTGTCCGGCGGCTTGTTTTCCTCGCTGTAGAAGAAGCTCATTTCACTGAAGTTAGGATCTAGTTCTTCTTTGATGCTGCTTATGATCTCCAGGAAGGACGGACGCATCTTAGGGTTATACTGCCAGCACATTCTCATCAGCTCAAACCTGAGAGTGACACATAAAGAACAAAAAGGGCATAGTCATTTACTGTATGATATATGCAAACATAATTTATAATACGTTATGCCGAATCTTGAAGAAAATATTTAGCAGTTTGGGAAACCGACTCTGCTAGTGTGAACATGAGGATGAACAGCAAGTCCAATCTCATACCAGTAGGTGGCAGGAGAAGCTCAAATTAGTTTCTTCTGACTTAAACTATGACCCATTTCATTTCTGTATTTTGATTTTGAACGGGAATCATGTATGGCTACTATATTAATCGTAAGTAAACTACAGAGTGATTATAACTTCCATAGTCTTTTACATTCCATTTATTATACCTGTCAGTGGTGCCAATGTGCAAACGGGGGGCATTAAATCATACAAATTCCTTTTTTTATCGTTCAAACTTGAATGATTTCAAGCATGTTTGTTGGCAGCTGGGTGAACTTGTCCTATTGCATAATAAAATGCACTAATTAAAGTCCAGTGGAATTGAGGGAGAGTGTGGACAGATTTAAGACTTTTATTGGCAAAGAGCAAATTCAACAACTATTTTTAGAGCCACTTCAATTGGTTTGAAATTGGGATGTTTATCTGCCACTTTACAGCATGTACAGTTAGATCAGCAGTGTAGCATGTACTCAACACAGTGGTAAATCATACTTAAATTTACTGTGCCAGGCCAGAAACCAAGCTTTGGGAATGTCAAAACAACATCATAAATAGAGAGAATTATTACAGTTTTGTGTGGCGCAGTACCACACGCCGCAACTTCAATTATACACAAACAAGCTAAGAATACTCTGTAAGGCTCGCAGACATAAACACCTCGGCCATCTTAGCTGCTTTGTTCTTTTTTCAGTCTATTTTTTTGCACTCTTGCGACTTCACTCAGAGGAATTATGGCCAGAACTAGCCTAATTTTGTACTTCAGCTTTAGAAACAAAAAGAGCGGCTGACCCCTCCAAAAAACACGGCAGAAAAGACACGCAATTCTGTCTGCGCAGTGGGGCCTGCATAACAATCTGTTGCGACGCACGACACCAGTTCATGCAAATATAGAAAACTGGGCAGTAAATCCTGGGTCCCGAGTATCCGGCCAGCCGAAGCATAAATGACACATGCTATAACAATTGGGCTGAATTGACTTACATTTGACTTGTCAAGTTTGTAAAGCATAAGAGACCACAATCATGTGTCCAAACTTGTTCAGACTCTACAATAAAACACCTCCTCAGTCTTAAAAGACAAACTTTCATAATGTTGCAGCTCAAGTCGTCTCTTACTTGAGTACTATATATACAGGTATGTATAAAAAATACATTATGTATATATATATATGCATACATACATACTGTATATAGTGTAAAACCAGTTTATTCTAAAAGTGTTGAAATTGCATTTATGAAATAAAAGAAAACAGTTGTAATGGTCAAACACACGGGGAGCTGTGCTAAAAAACTTTCTAAAATCAGAACCAGACACATTTGAGTGTCACTCACAATTGAGCCATGAGTGAGTGCAGAGCAGTCTTCGAACATCTATGTTAAATGCTCAATAATGTGAACAGGAACTTTGAAATGCTGAAAAAAACTGAAAAATCTTAACAATGAGTGATTTCTCCAATATATTATTTAAAACGAATCAAGTGATAGAGCAAAAAAATGAAATACTGAGCGAATTAGTTGGGTCCGCAATTAGCTCTCACTGAATCCTGCTGGAGAGGTTGCATTCTTTTCCAGTGAGAAACACTAGAAAGAAACATGGGAAACCCGATCTATGACCCTCAGCTACCTGAGATGTGCAACACAAGGAGGAGACATTCAAAGCTGTCCAAATATTACTCATCCCTCCCTGTGTTATCCCGTCCACTTCCTCTTCTTGTATCCCTCTATTCACTCTTTGTAAGGATGTCTGGCTTCACTACTCTTAAGCAGTCTTCTCAAAATCTCCATTAAGTCACTACAGCGCAGACGACAAAGGACAGCAGCCTGACTCCCCCGTGCGGCACTCAAAGACAGACACGGCCCCTACTCCACCGCCATGTCTGTAACACAATCCACACACTCCTGTAATCAGGACAAAACAGTCAGGCTACCATGGAAACCAGAAGTTTGTGTCTGCACAACACTCAGCCCTATTTTTTGTTCTGCTCGGGTTCTTTCTAAGGTGAGGTCAACCATGGAGAGTGGGAGGGAAGAGCGCAGAATGCTTTCTTATTGAGGTCAGAGAAGAAGAATAGAAAATACTGAACATGTATGGAGAGCAACATGTCAGCGGGCAGACTGCGCTCCATTTCTCTGTCTGACACACAGGGGTGCTTCATTAATGAATTATAAATTGCTTTAACAACAGTTTGCGTCATTCTCGGTCTCCTTTTTAATGCTCCTCGTGCCCACCCTCCGCGGCAGGAACGGGGGGAATCTTCCACACGCGGGTTGTGGCATCCCTTCTATGGGCAGATGCTGATGGGTGAGCAGGCTTCTGGATGCCAGCTGACCGTTGAAGCAATGTCGTCAATGAACTGCATTTAACCGGTGACGTTAATGTCAGCCCTTGCTTTGGCCCGTCCTTAGTGTATGCACACGCTATCTCTTACACTTAAAACCACAGCTTAAAATAGACACAGGGAAAAATACTAATGGGACTGTGGCAGTGTCAGCAGAGGACAGAACAATACATTCTTCAGGGCATGTAACGCAAGACAGTAGCTGTTGAAGTGGATACATAAAGCCGCTGTTGGTCAGGTAGACAAAGACTTACAGCATGTCAGGGCAGTTATCAGGTTTGTCCAGGAGTCCCCCTTCCATGACAAAGCGCAGCACTTGTTCATTAGACATGCCCTGGTAAGGCTGTTCCGCTAAGGTGGCTATCTCCCATAGCACGACTCCAAACGACCTGCAGTAAGAGAGAAAAGATGTATCCACTTGGTTTAATTGTCGCACCAGATTAAATCACCAATGACTGCAGTCACCGAGCACATTTCGTTGTGTTTTCTAACCTAGTTTGTTCTATTAGTTACAGGAGCAAAGACACTTTCCTTGTGTGTGTGTATATATCCCACTGTAAGAAAATCCAGTTCACTGTTACCTGCTCAAGGCTTTTGTGATATTCTGTTAGTTTTGATATTTATCTATGTAAACATTTCTGTGAAAAAGATCATTACCCTTGTAAGCTACAATTTAGATTTTAAACTAGGTTTCTTTACATTTAAGGCACTTTTTTATCCTCTTTTAATCTAGTTAAAATTGGGTTACAACCTGAAAGTGTCACAACACTGAAAGATTGTTTAATGTGATGGATTTAAATATTTCTGGAAAAACATTTCACCAACGTCATATTGCAGTGGAGAGCATCGTGTTCAAACAAGTGTAATGTCACTGCATTTAATGTTTTACGTGACAAATTTTCAACATATGGTCAATAGCTTAATGCACCATGTGTTTTTCCAACATGAGGGTTCATTTCAATGTGAGTAAAGTATAAAACTGCCTTGACTGATGTTATGCTCAGTATAACTGGACATAACTCAGGCTGAATGCTAACCTAATGCTAACCTGAGTTTCCTTCAGTCCTTAAAAAAAACTGTTTATTCATGGACCTCAAAGGAGCTATGGTTGGATTTAAAACATTGTTTTTCTTACTGAAAGTCCCAGTCACTGATTTCAATATGAATATTCAATCAAAGTTTAACCAATTCTGAGTTTTCTCTCAGAAAAATGTTTTATGAGAGCAGTTAATGATGCACAATGGTGTTTTGTTTGGTTTTCCCCAATATGCAAAAAATACTTAATTATCCTGAGATGTATACATGTCCCTCCAGTAAAATTAGTAATAAAATATTAAAGAAAAATTTTAACACTCACTATAATATTTTCTTTTTGTCCTTTGAGCTTTTCAGGGAGTTAATTTATAAGCAAAATAATCACAGTCCTCCATAAAAAAATGGATAAAACAGTTAGGTGCAGACTGTCTTCGTGCTGATCATCAAAGCCAAAGTCCCCTATTCATGAAGCCCAGAATGGGTTGTCTGACACTAAACTGCTGTGCAGCATCAAAGAGAATGATAGAGTACACAAGATGTGGAGGTGGGTTTGTACTGGCACTGCAACCTCTCATTTGTGGACATCTGGAGCAGTTTAAACCCACTCTTAGGGACAAACCCATGGGACACTTTGAGTTGGGAAACAAAAACTTGCAGGGGAGCTTGTAAACATCCAGACTAACTACAGTTGGGGGGGGGGAGAATTTCCAAAGAACTACTCCCCCCCCCAAAACAAAAAGTATTTTGCAAAGTATCCTCATGCAAAATATGCAGGCAGTTCAGGCCCCCTGGACTAAAACATGCTCATACATGTTTAATACGGGCTTGTGTGCATGTCAAAGTTATGTGTTCTCATACCAAACATCAGACATTGTGGTAAACACGCCATCTTTCAGGGACTCCGGAGACATCCAGCGAACAGGCAGCAGACCCTTTCCTCCTTTACGGTAGTAATCCGTCTCATAAATGTCTCTGGTCATGCCAAAATCTGAAAAAGAAATTAAAACAATAGTTTGGAAAACCCCTGAATATCATTCACTTTGTGTGCGAGAGGAAGTTCCTCAGGGCTCATCCTTTTCCCTCCCCTGCTCCCTCCCTCTGTCCGTCTACATTAAAACTCCACAGCCTCAAGCATTTACTGAAATCCAAACAGCTATTTTCACAGCTAGTAAAACAGCCTCGACATCGGGAGACTGAAGGCATCGCATTAACCTGACCTACCTCCAATTTTCACTGTGAAGTCCTCCGCTACCATGCAGTTCCTGGCAGCCAGGTCTCTGTGAACAAATTTGTTGGCATTTAGGTAAGCCATACCGTCTGCAATTTCCCCTGCCATCTGGATCATCTTTTTGAGTGGGGGCAGGACGTGGCTGCTGTTGTTCTGTGGCAGAGGAAGAGGAGGGAAGGTAAAGGGTGGGAACAACAGCGTTAGATCTTAATAACATGCCTATCTGCTAGACTGAGGAATTATATCTACGCTAAAAAAAAAAACTTTGAGGAAAACTGTCACCAAAAGTTTAGGGGCTTTGAGAAATAAATGATAAATCTAGCAACCCCCCAAACCATGGTTGCAAACATAAAATTCATCTGATCATATAACTTCCACAGATATTAAAGCGTAACTAAATGTATGCTGTCTTTGTACCATTTCAAATGAAATATGAGGTTAAATTTACATTCTGCTCAGTGCCAAGCGGCCTGTGTTTGTGTGTGTGAGGAAGAGCTGCTTACTTCTTTGCGCAGAGAGCGCAGGTGGCTCTTGAGATCTCCTCGGGTCATCAGCTCCATAATCACCAAGGTTGGTTGTCCCTGAGAGACCACACCAAGCAGCCGCACCTATACGAACAACAACAACAGTAAAAGGGCAGCTGCCACTATCTAAATCTGTGTATCGCCTCGAGACATCTGATGAGGGTTTCTTTGTGTAGGAAAACAAAATTCATAAATATAAAGATTTTTTTTCAAACCACAGTACATTTATCATAAGCTAAACTATTACTATTAAAAAGGAATACATAAACTGCTCCTATTTTCCATCATATACTGTATTTGCTTTTAGCGGTGAGATCTGAACAGAAGCCAGGCTTGATGGAAAGCCTGTGACAGCAGCTTTGTTAAGGGGAATCTTTAGCATGTCGCATTAATGTAGTTAATGAAGCTGCAATCACACCAAACAGAATCTACCGAACACTGCTGCCTGCCTCAAGCTGTAACTGCCGAAATAAAGACAAACTCAAATGCATCCAATCCCCAAAGTCCTCAAGACTTTTATTCATCCACATCTATGCAGAATAATTAGAAAATAATGATAAGTGAAGGCACTGTCTTATTACTGCATTCATTAGAGAGGCATTGCTCATTTCCAGCCACATACTGATGAACTGTTTGGTGTTCTCCCATTCAAAATGAAAATGACTATAATCTTACGACATGGCCATCTTACCACATGGTGACAGTTGAACTCCTTCATAACAGACGCCTCGTTCAAAAACTCGATGCGCTCCCTCATGCTGGCAGACTCATTGACCGTCTTGATGGCTACTCGTGTCTCAGGTTCGTCCTTGACAACACCCTTTGCCATGCCTTCGTACACCATGCCAAAGGATCCCTGACCCAGTTCTTTATGCATGGTGATCTTCTCTCTGGCCACCTCCCACTCATCTGGGGTGTACACTGGCACAGTAAAAGAGGCAGCAAGTCAACACCGCACGTTCAAACAAAAATACAGCCGTGGAAAATAAGGAAGGTATTTGACATTCTTACTCTCAGCAGCACTGATGTACTCGGGGTTGACAGAAGCATAAAGAACTCCATTCCCGAGTCTGTTGCTATTCCTGTAAACACAAACCCGGCTCAGTAAGTCGACACACAGCCCTGACTTTGAATGCAATATGCAAGTCTCAATAGGAAGTTTACTCTTTCCCACAGGGGAATGTTAATGAAAACCGCTATTAAATCTAATTAGCATCACACCAATCATTAAGCCTCACGAGCACATAAACTGAATCAAGAAAGTGGAGGTAGTGTTCACAGAAAAAACTTGCCTCTTTTTGTTGATAAAGAAGAGGATGGTAGCGAGACTGGCAAGGAAGAGGGACACAATGATGGGAATTATGATGACCAAATAGAACGTAATTCCGTCATCTCCTGTCAGGGTTGCAGAGACATAAATGAGTAATTATTGAGCGAGCATTGACATATTATAACATTTGATAAGGAGAAGTGTGACTGTACTTTTAGGCGGAGGCACATAGAAGGAGATGCTCTCTGTCCAGGAGCCATTTCCTGCCAGAGATCTGGCGCGTACGCGAGCAGAGTAGTTCCCTGAGCTCAGGTTGGTCAGGCGAGCTCCTTTGTGCTCACGGTACTGGTGCCGGGACACACAGCCGTGTTTCTCAGGCTGAGGGAAAAGAGAAAACCCTTGCTTTAAGATATTTAAAACTTTAAGGGGATGTCAAATCTGTATACTTTACATATTTAATCTTTTACAGGCATTGCCAAGAAATGTGTTTGTTCTATATTTCTTTTTTTTTATATTTGCATCTGCTGGATTTAAAAAGTTTAATCTTGAATCCGATTACAGGCTGTGGTTATGCCAGCACATTGTTTTTACCAGATCCAGTGCCATAACATACAATTTACACAAGTTTGTGTTCAGAACTTAAGGATTTGAAATGAGCAATATTTCAATACTGATGGCGTTTAGATTTGTCAATGGTGAAAACAAAGTAGACATTAAACACACCAGACATGAATGATGGCAAGCTTCCCATTATCAGTGTTTACTAGAATACTAAAGATATTGAAGCGTGTTTTAACAGGGTAAATATTGTACTCTGCGGCTCACCTCAGTCCCCAGACGGTATTTGATCTCATACATCAGGATAAGCCCATTGGGCATTGTGGGTTCTTGCCAATGTAGCAGAACACAACCCTCAACCTTCTCACTCCTCTCAAAGACAACCTTTCCGGGGATATCATCTGCCTTTGCTAAGGAACGGAGATGTACGAAAAATTATAGACAACACGTCTTTGCAATCTTATGCAGGGTTTTACAGTATACTGCATCACATTTTCAACATGATTTCTCACCAGCAGGTTTGGTCCTTGAAAACACAAAAGCTCCAGCACTGCAGCGGCCCACCACCTCATTGCAGGCGTGGATGTCAATACGGTAGACGGTGAAAGGCTGCAGCCTGGGGATCTCTAAATATTCTGTGAAACTCTTGTCCTCCAAAAAGGGAAACTCTACTGCAGGAGGAATGCCATCTGTGCTGTTATCTCCAGGGCCAAGAGATGTGTTGCCCCGGTCACCCTCCTGAAACAGTGTGTTGTTTGCGATGCCAAAAAGGTCTCTGCGTCGACGGTCTGGTCTGAAATACAGAGAAAGCAAGTTGTAAAAACACCTGTAAAAGTACAGTTAGGATGACACAATGACAAAAGGTAGACTGCATGTCCTGAAATGACTTTTCTGTTAAGCAATTTTGAACAAAGTTTAAATATCTCACAGAGCAGGTGGAGAGCAGGTACTTTGTGTGTGTTTGTGCTGTTTATGCTTTTCTTTTTTTTTCTTTTTTTTTCATGTGCGCATGTGTTTGCGCACACCATCTCTCCAGATGTTGTGAAGCACTCCCAGTGGTATCGTATCGAAAAATGAGGTCAGACGGAACACCGCAAAGTGCACAGACAAAAACATTTCTTTCCACATGAGAAAGGAAAAGGGGGGAAAAAAACCTGCTTCTCAACATATCCTGATAACAATTCAAGAGTCTGTAAAACAACCCACTACGGAAGCTCCAAAGCCAAATTATTCTATCATCACAACCAATGTTCAGTTGTCCTGTGGCTTTGGGTGAAAGGACACTCCCGGTCAGATTTGAGATGATAAGCTGCAGAGCCTCTTGTGACTGCACAGTATCATTTCAGAGGGCAAACAGGTGGTGACAGCTGTGAATGCAGCACCAGCAGTCACAATTGAAACAAAACAGGACCTCCAACTATGAAACCTGCTCAGCAGTCAGCAGAGATAGACAAGAAAAGCTTTGGGTCAGAATTAGGTTGCAGTAATTGATTGTTTGGTCCGTTAATAAATGTTCCAAAAACAGGGAGGAGCTGTCAGATTTTTAGAATCTCCAAAGGACGGTAAAAATGCATCTTTTTCTTATCTATGCCCATGCTTTTACAGTGAAGTCATTGAAATCCAATGCGTTTGGAGTTTTCCACATAAAGAACACAAATGAAGAGATGACGTCTCTGTCAATGGGCAAATCCTTCCGTTCGGTCAAAGAAAAAGAAATGACAGTGCAAACCCTCTGTCAAGATTATGTTGTGTATATGTAGATTTACAGGATTACTGAAAGGACACCAACATAATGTAGTAAGGACCAGCCACACTTGCATGTCAAAATACCTCTCTGACAGTTGAAACTGGTGGAGCCGAGGAAAGCAAAGCAAAGCCTAACTTGAGTGACTACATACAAAACACCATGTGGGTGGGAAAACTGACAGCAAGGTACAGATTATAGGAACAAATGCACCCTTGACCCTGAGTGGTAGCCTATCATAGACACAAGGAGAACATTTTAGTATTGTCTTGATATGATAAAATTAGGAGGATATAATTAGGGAACTGGAATGAAGGGCAGTCCTAAAACTATTTTAAAAAACTCTACATCAGTGGAATCCAGACAAGAGACTATGAGAGAGGTAGCAATCATTTTCACTGACTCTTTATCAATTAATATGCATCTATCTATCCTGACATAGAACATTTATGCTCCTGTCGAGTGTTGACAGGTTTTTCATAGCTATACAAGGTCAACTAAAGAGACAACAACGGCCATCTCACTGAGAGTTCTAGCCCCTCTGACTCTGACTCACTCTGCCTTCTCTACTTTCAGCCTGTTTTCTGTTGCTGATCGGGCTCTTCCCTCATTCATTTAAATTCCAGATGGATTCACTGTACATTTCCTGGCAGCTGTCTTGCCCCAGAAAAAAAAAGAGAAAGAAAAAGTCTTTGACAAAGAGAGTGTGCAAGAGGAGGTGTAGAGCGGAGTGCTGGGTCAAAGGGGGCCCAATGGAAAACATTTCCTTTTCGTTCTATTTCTGTTTTCATGCACCTTCTTTCCCCTCGTCCCTTGTCAAAACCATGAACTATTGTTTGAAAAAAAGAAAAAAGATTTTTAGACATTTCAAGGCATTTCCTACAGGGTTTGAAATTATGCTTGGTGTGTAACAAGGCCCCTTGCTAAAGGTCAGGGAGGTGCCAGCTTAATGGACAGCTATCCGATACAATATAAAGACAGCCTGTGCCAGGAAGAGGGCAAATTCAAGTTCATTCATAATAGAAAGCTGCATTTTATCAGTTTTCCTCCAGAGACTTTATTCCAAAATCATGAGTTCACCTAAAGGGAAGGTACTGTGTGACTGTGCTTGACTGAATCGTCTCTTTATCTTCCACATTCAAAAATACAGGCTTATAAGATATGAGAATCGTGTTTTTAAAAGTTTCTGTGAAGTAAACACCAAAAATGTTGCAGCCTTTAAAACATAGCCACGTGCTAAATAAATGACAACAACACTAATGCAGCCCCCGCGGTGAGGAACAAAAGGGTAAGTGTCTCGTGTCCAGCCAAACAAGGCCCTCCAGACTCTTTAATCACAACTCTCTCATGGGTTTGTTTGTGTTGCCCAAATTGCTGCTTGTTCAAACATACCCCGTGTGACTGCTGCCACAGCAACAAAAGGCTACAAGGGCCACTAAGAAGACTTTGGATCCTGCTCAGCAGGTTCCTTCAACTGTTCTATCCAACCAAAGGTCTGAACCCAGCGGGCCCAGTCCTCCTTCTGGTCTGTCTACACCCCAATGCTCAGATCGTGTAAGCTCCATAGACTAGTCAGTGATCACAACTGGTGAAACGTTGCTCCTGTATTTAACCATACCTTGGAGTAAAAATTGCATTATGGAGAAAGTTCTCAAAGACTTTTAAGAAGACACGGTCATCCTTCTCTCTGTCCTTCTCCTCAGGTGTCTTCTGGCAAGCACAGCAAGGCTGTTCTCCCCAAATCACCACAGACTTGGTGGGCTTCGTGCTGTCTTCCATGTCTGTGAGCTCTGTTGCTGGGATGCGGATTGGGATCTTTAACTCTGCGGGAGAAACCAAACAGGACACGGTTTAGCTTTGCTCTAGGGTTATTAACCAGGTGATTCTGTAAAAAATTTACATAATAAACCTACATGTTCATTAATCAGCAGGTTTGTCATTAGTTTGTACATAACCAATTCTTTCTGACGTTCTTTTAATTCACACAAATCATGAGCCGGGACATTAAGATACCAAAGCATGCTTATTGCTCTCTATGATCTGATGTCCTGAAGTCTAGAGTAGTACAGACCTTTGGAGCAGTAGTTGTGCTGGTAGAGCTCTCTGTCTTCAGCCTGCTGCTGCCAACGCACTAAGTAGTAAGTCAGATTGCCATTGGGGAAGACTGGAGGTGACCACTTCACCATCAGCTTGGTTGAAGAGTTGGCAAATGCACGGGCCTCTTTGGGCACTGATGGCACTGGTCAGAAAAAGGGGCATGTCATGCAACCGTTGAGTCTACGTCACCGTTGTATTCCGTTAACAAGATGAACAGAGTTGTGGTTAGGCTTACATGATGGGTGTGTGCGAATGTAAATAATATCACTTTTTGCCCCAGTAATATGTTTGTTCATCTGCAGGGTGGTGGCCTTCACAAAAACAGCATACTGAGTCCACGGCTTCAGTTGTTGAAGAGAAATGGTTGGGTCAGCGTTTTCATCCGGAGGAAGATCAACATCCACCAAATGCCAACTATTTAAACCACAACCATCCTGACCATCAAACTCTGTGATGTTCTGGAAAGGTCTGGAAGAGAAAAGAGTCACAGCAGTGCACTGATGAAAACGATTTCACTAAAGAACGGTCGTAGCCATCATTTGCAAGAAAAACTAATAAAACAAAATCTAGCCTGTGTAGAATATTTAAGAAAAAGTACATATATCTGAGATTGGAGCTAAGATTTTGACAATTATTTTTGGATTAAAAATTTTGGCTGGTCATCAAACCTGGAATTTAAGAAACAAGTAGGCACATATGTTGTAAAAGTGTTCTTTATGACGACACTTCTCACATAAAAAGTCAGCTGAAGGTGTATACTGTATATAGATATATAAATGGACATGCATGCTTTTGAGGTGCATTGTGAACATTTGAAGTAAAGCATGCTCTAAGCTGTCGCTTCATGCTCACCACAAGAGGCCTGTATATTCTATTTCCATTTATCAGTTTGTTAGATTCAAAAGTCAGTCATCCTTGAGTACTTACGACTCCTTGTAGTAGACTGTGAAGCTGATAAGGTTCTGGGTTTCATTGTCTGGGACCTTGTAGCGCTCCCATGTCAGATCAATTGAATGACTTGTTGTGATGTTTGACTTGAACATTAAGATATGACTTTCACCTGTAAGGACAGAGAGATGGCCCCGCTATGAGATCCAGATCAGAGCTTAACTTTCAGTCCCGCAGAAGATACTCATGTGCCAGATACGCGGAGCTTCTCTCACTTATTTACAAACCTATTCAACATTGTTGGTGCTGCTTAAATACAAAATTAGAAACCTCCTCATATGCCATCATTTTTGCCCAATTGGACCTGACTGAACCTTTTGCAATATATCAATAAACGAAGTCACTCTACAGGACGATGTAGTGCTGACTCGATTTTCCTAACACAGCTTCCGTTTCCTTCTTATTATTCACAACAGGACAGCTGCATATGTGTTTCAGCACAAATGGCAAACTTCTAGCTTTGATTTAGTTTAACACACATTTAAAGATATTGTGATCTTTTTTGGACCTGAGGTTAGGTTTCGTTATTTCATTTTGGCTCTATTTGCTTTTGAGTTAGAGAAAACATTGTTTTTCTATGGAGGCCCATTACTTATTCAAAAGGACAACCTCTATCACTGACTATTGCATGAAGAGATTTACAAAACCTAAAGCATAAATGCACAATATGGAGAGAACATTAGAAAAAGTTTCAAACTCTGGTTCTCGATGGCCACTGTCCTGCAGGTTAGATATGTTTTTTTTTCTTCAACACATCTGATTCCGATGAAATAGATTTGTTGAAATCATTGCTAAGCCCCGCAAAATCCTGATTAAGCCCTGTTGATGTGAATCAGGTGTGCTGAAGCAGGAAAACGTCAACCTGCAGGACAGCAGCCTTTGCAGACCAGATTTGAGATGCCAGATGTAGACCATTTCCAGCACATCCCGAAAATCGAAAATGGAGAATAACACGAGCTGTTTAGAGATACAGTCCATGCTCTTTAAATGTACACATGTTGACGAACATCTGTACTTACAGCTAGCTCTGTCACCATTGTTGCGGAAATCACCCAACTCTGGCTTCTCAGCTATGCCCGTCTTTTCCCACATCGTGTGGATCTCAGACATACAAAGTTTGGGGTTCCCTCGGAAAAAGAGACGGCCGTTCCGAATGGTAAGGTTGTGTTGACTCCAGTCCCATAAGAATTGCAGATTTTGATTGTTGACAGCTGAGAATGCATACATGCTGAAATAGGAAGACAGTCAGTAGATGGTTAAAAACATGTCACATGCTGCTTTTTTTCCCCCTTTAAAAATGACCAAAGCATTTTAACAAAAGTTGAAAGCTCCAAAAGTGGGATGAAAGCAGTTTTTTTTCTACTGCGGACATGTAGAAGTGAGATCCAAGTGGGCTGAGATTTGAGTGCCTTTCTGACAATGAGTGTTTGTGCCGAGGACATGAAACAGAAACAGTGTCATGTTAACACCCCGAGGTTCAGCAGTAAAAGCACAGCACCTCCAGAGAGAAGGGAATGTCTGCCATCCTCAACAGCATTCCTACCAGTGAAACTTAACCCTGGGAGAAACGATAACAAGAAAGGCAAAAGGCTTTCCCATGACCCTTTCAGACAAAAAAAGAAAGGAAGAAAGGAAACTCTCCATCGTATTTATGACTGCTGTTGGTATAGAAGTGCAGACACTTGCAGATATGAGTATTTCCTGATGCGCTGTGGCCAAACTGTGATAACAACAACACCTTAACACTGAAGAATCTTAAACTATTTGCACACTGCTTGTTTCCTCCAGTTTCCACTCACTGCACACATGCATCCATACATTCAGAAAAGAGCAGACAGTCATACTTGTCGATTAGTTCCTGCCCATTGATGTAGCGAAGACTCTTGAGGAAGGACAGGGAGCCAAGTGCGTGGGAGTGTCGAATCTTCACATAGCCCGTCACTTTCTGAATCAATCCCATGAAGTTCTCCAGCTCAGAGGCAATATTATCTGTGGAAAAGAGGTAAAACACACATGCAGCCATAAATAAAAATGCATAACATAACCTAAGATTTCAAAAATGCTAAAGAATCCCCAGTAGCTCTCTGGTGCTATTTTTAAACACCGACTAACATTTAATGCAAATGTTCTGATTGTATGATCACTAATATGTACAGAGATGGCATTTTGAGCCACCCCACTACTGGAGCAGCGTTACATTATAATGCGATAATTGGGTTAAAGTATGTGCATCCCACCAGCTTGGTCCACAGGGGCCCTCTGTTTTCATTATTGCTCTAATCACAATAATTGCAGGGCAGTCAAGTGAAACATACAGTAGTAAAGGATTACTATACTGTACGCTAGATTCTAGCCAGATTTATTATGCTGTTGGCTTGTGTTCACCCGTTTGAGAGCAAAGAAATGCTAGTGTGTATAATCTGCTTAGTTGCTGAGGTAGCTTAGCCCTGTAAAAATCCCTGGAATGTATTGTCATGGCGCTAGAAGCAACCACACTCTGCACAGAGTCACTCACTTCCACGTCGAATGTTGATGTCCAGATAGCCATCGATGACAGTGCAGTCCTTCAGTGACTGGGCAGCATCCACAGAGTCGATGACAACAGATGAGCAGATCTTGTCGCAAAGGCCGTTGCAAGCGCTGCACAGCATGCTGCACAAAGCAGAGGTGAAAGGAACAAGTGAATGTGGAAGCAGAGACTTAAACAGGGAAAGCAGAGATCAATCTTTTTCTGACATTTTCTACCTCGCCCTAAAATAACTGGTCTTGTCCTCGACTCCCAAGCATTCCAGACGATTCATGCAAATAAACTCGGGACATTGTACAAGGTCACTTCTGACACACGAATGGTTTAATCTTTTATGAGGCTTGAACTGAGCCGTTTCGTGAGAGAGTGACTCACTGAGTTGACCTCAGAGACAAAACAACAGACTACGGCCAAAAGCGCATTCAGCAGAAGACAGTTTGAAATGGAAACTTTGTGAGGTGACATGACAAATTAAAGAGAAAAACAATCTACAAAGAGAAAGTTCTCTTATCCTAAATTGGCATCAGACAAAGGAAATGTTAAAGCAGGGAGTGTCCAACACTTGAACTGAGACTCCTTCTTGAAACTCTGAGCACTTGTCTGTAAAATCTACCAGTGGAGTTGAAAACAAGGCACAGTGTTGAGAACATTCCACTTAATAGACGGGGATACCTAAACATGAATCTTTTATAGCTCTGCACGCTCTTAACTGTTTGCACTTCCAGTTGTGAGACCTACTTTGAGAAAAAGAAACATGTGGAGAGCGAGGTCAGGTTGAGTTCAACTCAAGGATACTTCGTGCAAAATAATTCATTATGCATAAGTGCACGGTGAATACAGGCTGTCTCACGGTATGTGAATACTCAAGTATAAACACAGCAATTTGGCCAAGACGTAATACCAATTCCTGTGGCTCTCACTGCTAAAAGGATCAAGTAGTGATTCCAAACAGATTGGAATGTAGAGCATCATTATTATTTTCATTATAGACGGTAGAAAAACTCAAAGAAATCCTTGATCATTGCATGCCGATCAGCAGGAGCTCCACCTTATACTTTGGACACTGGGTGTTCAATCTCGCGCATCATTTTAAAATGACCAGGACGCACAAAAACTAAGACTGAAGGGCATGTCCTTACCGATTAGTGTCGTTGCGCGTGAAACCAGAGGGACAGTCGGGCATACATTCCCCACCGTGGATGACAAAGTGTGTATCATGGGGCAGGTGCACCTGGGAGCACAGCTCCATGGAGATGCAGCGCCAGCCTTCAAATTTGTAAGTGCCCGGGGGACAGTCGGGCACACAGCGATCCTCGTGGAAGTAGTGGAGGCAGGCCGCGCAGGCCATGTCGTTGTTGGGTTGGGTGCAGCTCCCCAGACACTGGCTGTGGCAACACTCCCCCCGGTCTGTGCACGCAAGCTTGCAGTGATCGGGACAAACTGAGAAAAGACAGAGGGAAAAAGAGGGAAACGGAGGTGTTAACTATAAAGCAACTTTTATTCATTCTTTTTTGTCTTAGAATAAAAATGGCATTTGTTTTTTGTGAAAATTAAGAAACTGCCAGACGTGTGATAAAATTGTTTGATCTCTTTTCTTATTCAATCATCAGGCACCAGCAAATAGATCAACACAAAGATTCTGAAAACCACTGAACAAGCAAATTGTCTTAATGTTCCTCTCATGTTCAGCTGAAGGGGAATGTGAAGGCATTGGAAATTACTTGAAATACTGAATCCTTCACTTCAGCCCCAAGAATAATAAAGTAAGTAGGTTGGTTATCTGTTTTTTCTTTTTTTACAACAAAACAGCGACAGCAGCAAACACAAACTCGGCATCGAGCTGGAGCAAGCCCAAACAGGTCAGTTTATCATAGATCACAAATAGCTAATCGTGGCACTCACACTTTTGTGGGTTGTTTTCATTCGTGTATGCTGGTGTATGCCTTTTAATCGAACTTTTAGACAATACTGTTTCATAAAATCATCAACACACCATCACAAAAGAAACATGAGAGCTATTAGGATCAAAGTCAGGGTCACAAGCAGAGAAACGGCAGAGCAGAGATCATTTCATTTTCATCACAAATTCATCCATTCTGGGTCAGAAACCAATTCTTGAGACTTCATGTTTGCCCATTTTTTGTTCCTAAACCAAGCTGCCAAACAAAAAATGTCTAAAATCATAATCTTCCTCACGGCTCAGAAAGAATTCACACATCTCACTACTTTTCTGCTAAAATGAAAAATAAAAACAGCATTCCAGCTTGAATGAAAATCCATTTCCCATTAACATTCGAGATCTAAAGACAGCATGTTCCCAAGCAGTGAGAAAATCAGAAAGTAGATGTGTGGGGTGTTTCAAATTAAGCTTGAGCAACAGGACGACTGAGAAGCTCCTCACTGTTTACTGGACATCTCCGAGAAACCAAACACAGAACAGTATGTTACCAATAACTCCAGGCATTCCCCTGCTGCCTGAGCCTAACTGTATATCTGACTGTCTGATTTATTTTTCTAAAATATTCTTATTAATGAATTGATCCTAATCACCACGGCATACAAAGTCCTAAAGCCAAGCAACAAAAAAATGAAGAAACAAAAGGAATCAGAAGTTCTCATTCATGTAAAACAAACAATATCAGGTAAGTGCTTGTTAAGTAGATAAAAAAGCAAATGATGCCACTGCAAGCTGTTCTTTAGATCCTGCAGACAGGGGTAGCCTATTTTCAGATCAGTGCCCACAAGAAAAGCATCGGGGTTACATGGGTGCACTGGTAGATTTAGATTTCCCAATAATGGATACTCACGGAGATAAAGGACTGCTCTGGGAAATACTGAATCAAACTCCCATGTTTCCTTGGGAAAATGAGAATGAACCTGTAACCGTTTATGCTTAAATTGGCTTTATACGCAGAGCAGACACTGTGCAAAAAACAAATCCAGCTGGCCTGCAACCCTGTTTGTTTTTTTTGAAGCCTTGAGTGTTTACTGTTTATTGTGATGTTCTTTGTTATTGCTGCAAGACAAATGTTTCCACACAGGCAATAGGAACGAACTACGCTGAACTGAAGTCAAATAAGAGGCACAGAACTGGTTTCTTAGCAACTGCATCCTTGTGTAGGCCAGAGCTCAAGAAGATATAAACACAATCTCGAATATTCATGCTCTCATTTATGGGTGGGGGACAGCAACCTCCCTCTCTGTAACTTCAGTCATCCTTGTCCCTTGTAGTGCACAGAATCAAAGATAAGTGTCCTCGTGTGTAACCAGTATGGGGATGTGTGTGTACAATGGAGAAAAAGAAGAAAAGGAAATTAAAGAAGGATTCCTGTGTTTGGTTTCATTCAATTATTATTATTAGAAACTGAAAAGATGGAGAAAGTAATGCAGCTATGAAAGGTGAAGAGCTCCTCATGTTGTGTGAGTTGGAAAAGAGTGCAGTGGAGCACTACAGGTACTCCCACAGCGCCAGGGGCAGCTTCACGTTACCAGGAAAGGATAGTGATCACTCCCAGTCCTGGAAGTTTCCAAAGAACTTGCAAATCTTACAGTGCATGAGATTGAATTTCTTTAAGATTCCTTGAGAAATTATGAGAAAAGCCGACTCTAAGTACCTCCCATAAAACAAAAATCAGTAGATGTATTAAGAGTCACTTCTTCCCTAATTCAATTAGCTTTCGGCCGACTGTAAAATCGCTTAAGAATCACTATTGACAGGAACGTTTTCGGAGGGGCATTTTGCCGCGCGGCCTTTTCTGTGCTGTGACGCTGCACACTACGCACACGCCCCCTCCCCACAGGAGCCCCGACGCCCCGCGCTGCGCAGGGTTAACCAACTATTTTGGATGGGGTCCAAAGCAAATGGCAAAGATCTTTTTTTAAAACTACAGCATCAAATGCCAACACACACAAGTTATCACGTAACAACTGGGATTTGATTGGAAATACGATGCTGACATAAGTGTGGTTGGAGCAGGCAGATTAATGTCGCACATTTGCAGAGTGAGGAAAAATGAGAGAAACACAAGCGAGGCTTCGTTTTCTTGGAAGCCGACCAAAAGGGGGCAGCCAAGGCAAACTCTAATGAGCCTTATTGGAGGAGGTCTGTTCCTCCTTCTGCATCATTTTAACAGATTCCTCAATGAGGAAAAATTCCAAACATGCATACCTTCCGCCAGAGCATAGCAGAGTGAGGGGAAGTCACTGTCTCAAATCCATATAAGTCTACGGGGTTTCACTGCGTGACCAAACAACCCATGGTATCAAGGATACAATCCTCTATTTATAGATGCTCCTAATGCCGGCCTATTTTCACATTACTGCTCTCTACACATAACTATGCAAGGAATGATAGGTTTCCACTGCTTCAGAGGAGAGGGACTTCCTAACAAGGGGTTCCTCTTCAGATAAGACAGCATAATCCTCGTAGCGCTCTGATGGGATTGACGTATAAAGGCACAGGGCATCGGCAGGTTGGGGTTTTTGAGCAAATCTAAGTTCATGCTGGGTTCCATTCGGCACGTTTTAACCAGAAACGATTTACAATAATTTGAGTCAAACAAGTTGCATTGCTGAGCGTGGGGGGAAGGGAGCTTTATAATGTTCTTCTCATACAGTAGTTACACAACCCCCCCCCCCCTCCTCCTCCTCCTTTTACTGAGCACACATAGCCAGGTCAGACACCAAAGCTGAGCCTGCCCCCGCTGCTCCCCGTAGCACTGCGACACGAGGGGCGGCAGCGTCCATTTCCACCCGGAGCCGACCAGACAACGGTCAAATCACAGAGGTCTCGGTCACTAGCCAAAAACTCTGCAAACGCCATCAAACACAGCCGCAGGGGAAGGAGGCACCGCTGAGGGACAGACAAGTCCAGTGCATAGCTGTTTTTTTGTTTTTTTTGGTTCTAAAGGTATCGACAATCACACTGACTATGTGAAGAATTCTCAGAATGTTCCAGGGACCGAGCTGAATGGGAGTGAGAATGTTAATCCTTTTTAGCAACTTCAAGAAGTACTGGCAATCTGAGAAGAATGTATTTTAGCTATACACATAATTCCAGAGGAGTGTTGTTAACTGAAAAAAAAATCAGTCAAATAGGATTTATTTTTGTTTTTGCAAAAAGTGAGGGGGTCTTATTTTTCCAAATCTTTTCGGCCATGCCTAACATCACAATCCACTCCAACCAAAAACTCAGCTTCAGTCTGAGGAAAAGACAACCACATTTTGACACCTTCTTCCTTTGGAGGCCATTCTGTCTGTATATCTACATACAGTATGTGTGGGATACAGGAGGATGGGTGTGAGGTTTCAGAGCTGAAATCCACCTTATTTTAAGAAGAGAAAAATGGCTGTGCATGCAGGGAAAAGCGTTGCAGTACAGCAATGCTCCTCATCTAAATGCGAGTCATGTCCTGTTTGCTGGAGAGCATGCTGCGTTAAGTAGACTACTACACTGTTTGCGATGGGAGGCTGGCGACACGTTTACTAGCAGCAGGCCGCGGCTGCCTATGAGGATGGGGTGTTCTGTGAAAATAGAAGAACTGTTGTAAAATGTATTTATCCAGAAAAAAAATCACAGGTCTCAGCCCTGGTGAAACATTAAAAATCATCAAAATAATTTTTCATGGTTTTTTTGTTTTTTTAAAAACACGTCAAAGCACAGCTTGTTTTTCCTTATGTCATTTAAGACAAGCGGAACATGACCGACAGTTGGGAAGTCATTCATTATTCACACTGGGGCTCAGGGGAGAAGGGGGTCATCTGAGAGGAGGAGTGCCCGGGTTAAATTAGTAGCGATCTTTTGGACCAATAGCAGAGAAGCAGGGGAGGTTCTAATCCCGGTGACTGACATGTTATTGAGTCTGGAGCAGAGATGGTAAACAAGTCGGTACTTGAACAGGCGTTGGGAGGGGGAGTCGTAACCATAGTGAGTAAGCATGACTTTTCCACAGAACCAAAGAAACCACAAGTTTCAGACGTTGTGTTATTCCGGTAAAGAGAGCTGAGCCTGCAGTGTGTCACTGTTTAATTAACAGGTGATGAATACGTAGAAAATATTCAATTTGTAAAAACATTAATAACCGTAATATGCCTCATGTGTATATTATACTAGAAATACTTAACCATACACACACAGAAACACACAGACACACATATATATATATACACACACAAATAAAAACACTAGTTTCTCATTGTTTATATATGTTCTTTAATCCAGTCAAAGCTTCCTATCCAGTCAAAGCTGCTCAGCTCAGGTTACCAGATTTGAGATGAGACAGTAAGGTAGCTGACTACAAGTACAGTAGCAAAGATCAGGCCCATCACACTCTGCTGCAGCTGGGATCA